GCCATGGCTCTAAGAGGTGCTGGGCTCCATCCATCATCCTCTTCCCAAACAGCCCTGGGAAGGGGCTGAGACCAGAGTCAGGCAAGGCCACCAGCTGCCTGGAGAGGAGGCAAGGACAGCTCATACAGAATGCCCACAGTGGATGCCACCAGCTCTCCTTTCAGGCCCCACTCCCTCCGCTCACGTGTGGCAGCTGCCAGAGTGAGAGGGAAACTCACAGTGCCCCACGGCCCAAGGACCCCCCAAGGAAGGTCTCATCAATTACCAGCCAGTCTCTAGGGAACCATTGCAGCAGTTTCTCTTCCTCTTTGCCTGGCCTTTTTCCACCACAGGGACTTTCCACAGCCAAGCCTTTCTCTGGGGGAGACCCTGCCACAACTTTACAGTGGTTTCACAAACAATAATCTCTCCAACGGCAGCTCTGGCACTGCAGGATTTTGCTCTCTGTTGCTAGTTTTCCTAAAAAATAGAGAATTTGCAGCTCTTGAGAAAAAAATCCTCCCTTCCTCAACTCTCTGTTGGGCCCAGCCACAGCTGTGCATGGCCTGATGGCCCTTCCCTGTGGCAGAGAGCTGCAGCCTGCCTGTGCAGACTCTGCCTCTGTGGCTTCATAGTGGTGAGCAGCTGAGCACCACAGAGGGAATGAGCTGCCTGGACATGCTCTCTGAGCCCAGCTCTACCAGTTGTGAGCCATGCTGGGCAGCACCAGGGAGATGAGCCTGGCCACTTTTCACCAGAGGCAAAACAAGACTGCCCTCCTCCTGAGGGCGTGTACCCTCATAACATCCACCACCACCTCAGCAGTGCTTTAGGAACCTTTATTTTTAAAAGGAGTCTGTCTTCCACACTTAAGACCACTCTCAAGGGGATTAATGCAGGTGAATCTCCCGCAGCCCAACAAGGCACCAGACAGCTCCTTTACATCAGAGCCCAGAATGCAGGGGCAAAGCCACAGCGAGGGTCTCCCTCTGGGTGGAGGGGACCAGCACCTGAGAGAGGCTGGAACCTGGATCTTCCTGCACAAACTGCTCTCAAGTTACATCGATTTTGCAAACAGAGGCACAATATGAGCCAGACAACCCTGACAAAGCCCCTTTGCATGCAAAGGGCAAAGGTAGAGGAGAAGGGAACAGAGGGCTCGGGTGTCCTGCAGCATAATCTAAGCTTCCACAAAGGAAAGGGAAAGGCAGGGCCAGCCCCAAGCTCTCATAGCCTGCTGCAAGCTTCTCAGCTCAGCAGAGAGTTTGGGTACTGTCTGGGACAGAGAGATAAGGGAATTAGGCTGCTCTTTTCAGCTAAGTAGCTGCAATCAGTCACAGCTACAGGACTGATCCCAGAGGAGCTGTGGCCAGACAATGTGTGGAGTGCTGCAACTGCCAGCGTGTGTGCTGGGTTCCCCAGTGCCATGGAGCTGTGCCACACTGGCCTTTAGCATCTGACTGAGCCCAAAGCAGCAGCACTCAGTGACCCTGCTGCAGGAAACATGCTCTGTTTCTGTTTCACAGGCAGAGCTTGGAGGTACCACCCAGTTCACTGAGGGGTTCAATGGGGGGGAAAGACTGTGTACTGCCTACTACTCCACCACCAGTACCAGAGGATCAGGGAAGTAGAAGTGGAGCTAGAAAGGAGCCAAACAAACTGAAAACAAAGTGCTTTGGGCAGGGAGCAGTTCTGTAGTTTTGTAGTGCAGCCAGTGCTTTCATCTGCAAATGCACCTGGCATTTGCTCCTCCACTGGCACACACACAATTGCACTTGCTAGGAATAACCAGAAAGCCTGCCCTGGCTCAGAGATCCCCCAACCTCAGCCACCAACAGGCTCTTCAAGATGCTGCAGGGATGCTTCAGAAAGGAGCAGGCTTCTGTACTGCCAACACAGGTAGGATTTCCATTCCTTGTGCACCCAGGGCTTGGGATGACACTGTCCTTCCCCCCTTCACACACTGTCATCCTGTAGCAGTGCTGAGGGCGAGGAAGTCCTTGCCATAGATGGCTGAGGAACATGATCAGCTGCTGCTTTTGAGGGGATTTTGTGCTCTCGAGGTGGGGTGGGAGGGGGGAAGGTGCTGCTCAGCAGGGCATCAGAGTACATCTCGTCCTGGACACTGGGACGCTGCACAACCCTTTGCAGCAGTGGCTTAAGCAAGCCCACAGTCAGCTGGTTCCCCTCGCTGGAGAAGGGCACTGGCTCCTCCTGGGAATAAGGGAGGTGCTGCAGGACCGTGGAGAGGATGTCTGAGGCGGTGAGCTCAGCAGGGCACAGCGGCCACAGCCTGTCCAGGTAAGGGTCCAGCTCCCGGTGCTGGGCAAACTCAGCCAGCAGTGTGATGAATATCTCCTTGTTGAGCAAGGGGCTGAGTTTGGAGAACTTCTCTGCCACCTCCACCACCCGCTGCCACCGCTTCAGATGGACGAGAAGGTGCAGAGCTTGCAGCACAGCCTTAGGCCTCTTGCTGCAGAGCAGCAGTTCCAGCTCCATCTCCTCATCTGCCTCGCCGTGTTTGTTCTTTCGGGCCAGCACTCCCAGTGCTCTCTTGTACAGTGGCACCCGGCCCTCTGGGCCCTCCTTGCTGCCATATGACCAAGAGCTGCTAACGTACTGCTGGGTCAGCTCCACAAAGCTGGGCAGCCACTTGGGTTTGAACCTCAGGAAGGAGGCACAAATGAGCTCAAAGAGCGGGACCATCCCATTCTGACCCACCTCCTCCAGCTGCGGCTGACACAGGACCTTCTTCCATACCTCTGGGGTGGCCCTGGCTACCAAGAGGCCATCCCCATTCTGCTGCAGCTGCAGGCAGCTCCTTGTGGCCTTCCAGGCAGCCTTGGGGAAAGAGGCAAAGACAGAGTTCAGATAGGCCAAGTTGTCTTTGTCCATGTCAGACTGCAGAATGCGGCTGACCTCCTGCTCCACCAGCTCCTTGCAGTAGCTTTCCACCTCACTCTCTGGGGCGCACACCACGCAAGTCTTGAGGAGCTCCAGGCTCATGTAGCTCTGCAGCTCCAGGCTCACTGTGCTCAACAGCTTGGCGTAAGAGTCTTGTAGGCTTTGGGCTGGCTTCTGCTTCTGGTGGAGGCTGTGCTGCAGGATGGCAGCAAGGACTACAGGAGCCTGGAACGTACCACCCTTCTTCAACTTCTCTACCGTCAGCTTGGAGCTGCTGAGGCTCCTCCTCTGATAGTATCTGCAGGCCTCCTCAAACACCATCTCCACCAGGCATGGCTCAGGCCTGCTGTTGTCCTCAGGTTTGGAAAAGCTAAAGCTGTGGATGCCACTCTGACTGAGGAGCTGGATACTGTCCTCCTCTCCCTGGCACTCCAGGAAATGCACCTCTTTCATGCTCAGGACTTCCTTTTCTACAAGTCTTCCACTATTCTGGTCAACAAGGTACAGTACTCCATCCAGCACACAGGCCAGGATGCTGCCAAAAGTCTTCAGCTGGACAGGATTCCCATGGGCCAGGGGGCCGCCCTCCAGGTCAAAGATATGCCTCTGTGTCCCATCTGGCTCCACGACACTCACAGAACCCTTTGTGCTCACCAGCAGCAGACCCCCGCTGTTGGACACAGTGGAGGTGTGAATGTCCAGAGGCGCAAAACCTGAGAGAAGGCCCACAGAACCCAGCAGGAGCTTCTTGAAGTCTGACTCGCTGCTGGAGCGCAGCACCTTGCTGTGGATGAAGCCCGCAGAGGGGGCTGTGATGGTGAACTCTGCTTTCTCTGGATGCCAGATGAGGAGGAATTTGGAAGTGGTGGCGAAGCCGGCAGCAGCAGGCACTAGGAAGACATGCTGGGGAGAGGCCAGGACCTGGTACTCGGGGCTGTTGTGCAGGACTATCCTCGCAGTGCCCAGCCGCACGCCCTGCTCCCCCAGCTCCAGAGCACGGGCACAGACACAGAACCTGAAGGCACACTTGCTCACGTCCGAGTGAGCGCCCAGCGGCGGCCTCTCCTCACACCACACCAGGCTGGCTCCCTGGCTGCACACGGACACCACTCGTGCCCGGGCGCCCTGGCACAGCTCCAGGGTCTGCAGCAGCTGCCAGCCCACGGCCACCACGAAGTGCCACACCTCGGTCCGGCCGTGTTCCCACACCACGGCCAGCACCCACGAGTCCGGTACCACAGGGCTCTGCAGGAAGAGCAGTCCCACAGGGGCTGGCTGGGGCGGCTGCCAGCTCCTCTCCAGGTCGGCTCCAGCGATGCTGTGGCGCTGGAAGGCCACCAGCCGCGGCAGGGCGGGCGGCCGGCTCTTCTGCAGGAGCAGGACATGCTGCCCGTCGGGGCTGGACTGGACGTGGCTGGGCTCTTCTCCGCGGCACAGCAACTCCCGCAGCCAGTGGCCCCGGCTGAAGTCACTCAAGTCGGAGACCTGCCGCAGCTTCATCCTGTCAGCGACAGCGTGCAGCAGGGCGAGCTGGGGCACGGAGCCACAGCCGCCACTCAGCCCCTCCCGGCGCCCCGCCACACCCTGCTCCCGGCACCCGGCTCCCTCGGCTCTCCAGGAGGCCCCCACGGGCACCTTCCCCCCGCGGTGAGCCGGTTCCGCAGCAGCGACTCCTAGGGACCGGCCGCGCCCGGAGCTCGCCGCACAGCCACCGCCGCCCGGGAGAACTCCGCGCTGCCCCGGGCACACGCCGGGTCCCCCTCCCGCCAGGACCCACCTGCCGCGGCGGCGACTGACGGCCGGGCCCGGGCCGGGCCAGCGGCAGCTCCGCTCAGCGCTGCGCAGTCACGGGGCCGCGGGTTTCCGGGCGGAGCCGCTCCGCGCCGCCGCGGGCCGGCCCGCTCCTACTTCCGCCGCCGGTGCGGAGCGGGCTGCGAGGCCGCGCCCCGAGGGTCCCCGCAGACGGCGGGGCCATTTCTTACCGGCGTGCGTGTGTACGTGCGTGTGTCAGTGCCCGCGGGGCGAGCCGAGCTCCGGCCGGCCCGGGGAGGAGCCTCCCCGCCCGCCCCGCCTGCGGGAGCCGCGGCCGCGCGGGGAACCGGCGGGCGCACGCGCGGCGCCTGCGCGGTGTGCGGGGAGCGGCTGCCCGCAGGTGAGTGCGGGAGCGGCGGGGGGGACGCGGGACCCCGCCCGCGGGGCCGGGCGCCGCCCGCTGCCCCTCCGGCACCGGGGGCTCCGCCGCTCCGGGGGCGCCGCGGGGCGGGTGCGCTCCCCGCCGCGAGGGGCCTCGCCGGGTACCGGCACACCGTTCCAGGGCCGCTCGCTGCCCACCCCGGTTAGCTGCGGGAGCGGCCGCACGCAGCCCTTGCAGCGGGAGGCGCTTCTCATGGCCCGCCGGTAACGGCGCGGTGCCCCGGTGCGTGCCCCGGTGCCGGCCCCGTGGAGGCCTCGGGGCCTGCCGCAGCCCAGCCCTTCGGTGCTCGTGGGCCGCACCGACCCCGGCTGCCTGCCGGTGGTTGGGGCTCGAGATAACTCCTGGGGAAAGAACGAGCGTTCGCTGATCATTCCAGTTGTGTGGTTTACCTCGCCCTTCTCCCAACACTTGTGCGGGCAAAACAAAGGGGAACAGCAGCAGGGGCAAAGCAGTGGGAGCTTGCAGTGTTTATTGTGCCGAAGGCTGAGGCACTTGCTGCAGGAGCAAGCTGCGGCCTCGGTCAAACCCTGTTGCGTATGTCACTGTAGCGAAGTTTGTTCATCAGCAGAGACTGTAACCCGAATGTATGGTGAGAGCCAGTTAGGGGGAGCGAGTGGGTGGAATATGCAAAGCAACGAGATAATTAGAGTCATTGCCATACGTGGTGGCTGCAGTTCACCAGCTGTTTGAGCTCTAGTAGGAAATGTGACAAAAATGTACAAGAGGAATTTCAAGGGGAGGAAAGGACAACAGTTTGGCTTTCCAGTGATAATAGGTTGATCCACAGTGTCATTTATAGCACTTTGGCTCTGTGCAAAGAGATACTGTGGGCATGGTACATACAGTGTAAAAAAGTTAAACAGTTATTGGCTAGCATGCACAAAAGGAGCAGTGAGGCTTTAATGGGCTGCTGGGCTAAGCATTCATCTGCTCCCTCCCCCAGCTAACACACCAGGCAGCCATGCAGACATCCCTTAGGAGGGGAAGGGTCAGCCTCTGCTGCTCAGAGTTGCTGAGTTGCTATATTCTGGCTCCCTATTTTTTTTTTTTTTTTGAACTTACACCTTTTCATGTTTGCATTTTAACTCCTGAGTACTTGTGCTGCTGATGGTCTATATCTCAAAAATGCTGCCCACTCTGCAACTCCACTTTTCTTATCTTGGCATGACTTTACTATGCAGCTTCTTAGAACATAGCAGCTACCTCAGAAGTCAGAGCCGAGGTCATGCAGCTGCACTGTGTTCAGCATGGGCCTTGGATCCACACCACCAGCTGAAGCCATGGGAGAAGGGCAGGGGAAGGTTACAGGGAGAGTGTTTTTCTTCAAAAGGAAGGCACTTGAAAAAGTCTGCAGGTGACATGAGCTTTTAGGTGGGAGTGTAAAGGCAGTGCAGAGTATTTCATGATAAACTATGTGGGATGGATTCTAAAGCACTTGAAAAGTGAAAACCCAAAGTAATTTTCTGACCTGAGAGAGCTGGTCATGGTAGCCAGGAATACAGAGAAAAAGTGTGGTGAAATGAAAAAAATTACCTTATATGAAAATGGTGTGAACAGATGCTGGTGGAAACATGCAGTGCTTGTCTGGATGGACTTGACAGGGGAAAACATAGCTAGTTGGTGGTGTGAAGTTGATGGACTGGGTGTTATTTTAACTGGACATATAGAAATTAAATGCAGTTATGCATGAAGTGTTAAAATCGTAGCTCAAATGTGACTCATATCATTGCTTAAGCAGGTGCAATGGGAGAGGTAGCATGTGGCTGTATTCGTATTAGGAAGCTAATTTTCTAATTTTTTGAGAGGTAAAAAATAGGTCAGAAATGATATAACTAGATTGTACTATGTAGAAGCACATACACTGCTCTGAGTGGGATGGAAGGAATTTCTAGTAAAATATGTATATATATACACTGTGGCTGTGCTGGGGGTTGTTGCTTTGTACTGCAGAAAAAATAGGATCTCTGTGGGTTTTTTGTCATCAGCACGCCTTCAGAATATGTTTCTCATTGTGTACTGCCTGAAGGCACCTGGAAATTCTGCAGCATGGCTCCAAAGCTGGTATGCTGTGTTACTGTTTCCCTTGTTGGTGGGTTGAGCACCTTACAGTTGTAGAGGAAAGCACAGTTTGAGCAGTTTTTATTCCAATGGCCAATATACAAGTGAAGTTATTAAGTAAGGGATCAAATATAAAAGCAGTGTGGATGTACTTGCACAATCTGTAACTGCCAATGCAAGAGTTTGTGGAGAATAAGCTGCAAAAGGGCTGATGGCAGAAATTTGGCCATGATGGTTTCTAAAGCTTTGAAAAAAGCTTTATGTGTTCTTGCTCTGTTTGTTTTCATTAGTGGGCTGCTGATGGGTGGTCCTGGGGGTTTTAACAGAGGAGCTGGAACTGGGTTCATGCATTCCCTGTGCCCTGGGATTCATAAATTCTTGTTCTGGGTGCAGGTTGTCTGTTGCTTCCAGCGATGGGTGGGCTCTGGGACCTGTGTTGTAACTGCCTGTTGTTCAGGTCCAGTATTCACTCTGCACATTCATCACATGGATGAAGTGCAAGTTTTTCCTGGTACTTCACTGAGGTATGAGTGCTTAGCTTGTAGCACATTGCTTTAGAAGCTGTGAGTTAACTTTTAGACGGGTTTTTCCCCACCTCTTGCATTTTTTGAACAACTTTCCTTTAATCCTGAGTGATGTACCTGCAGAGCACCTTGAAAGCAAAGCATGATCACACTGAGTCCCAGTTTCATACACTCAGGGAGGGAGGAGGCAATTGCTGCCTTTGAAATGTTTGAACAGGTGAGTCCAATCTCAGTCGCTCTGGCAACTCAAGGGATCTTGGATTCTAAAAGCAGAAGTATCTAAGTTCTTATTCAGAATCCTTATGAAATTGATTGTGGTTCAGGGCTTTGACATTAACAAACTAATCACATCATTTGCACAGCCTTTTCCAGGTAGTGAATAAATGGTTTGCCAAGTAAGTCTTATGTGAAAATACAATTTTGCATCATCTGTATTCTTTTTGTCTAGCCAAGAAGTGTTGCAGTATATTTTATAAGGGGTCCACACTGGAAAAAATACACTTATTAATGTTTGGTTGTATGTGGGTGTTGTGTATGTGCATTTATAATCTTGGAAACTTTCAGGTTTGTTAGCCAAAGCAATTGAATGCAAAGTGCTGTGCTTGATGGGCTGCATGCAAGATTACACAAGTTACAAGTTTTGGATCCTGATGTCATTATGGTGTAGATGTGCATTAGTGTTATCCTCTTGACAGTATTTTTGCTGTTAAAAGGCAGTCTATGGAATACTAATAAGTCTGTGCAGGAGCTGAGTGACAATGTGAAGCACTGTGTAGCAGTTCTCAGTGTGCACAAATCTCAGTAAATCTCAGACTCAAAATACCAGGTTCATTTTCCCTGTGGCTACTCTAACAACAAGCTAACAGAGCTGTGTTCATTGGAATGTCATATGTTTGGTTGGAATCTGTTACGAGTTTTGGAGTGAAACAGAAAGGAGCTGCATGGTTGGATGTGCTCATCTCTTCCTGACTGGATCAGCTGATCCTGGGGTTGATGAGAGATAAAGCAAGAGTCTGCCTGAACTTGTGTCTTTTATCTTGCTGCCTTTGAGCTGCCAAGACTCATGCTCTGTCAAGTTTTCTTTTAGTTCCAGATGAAGCATCTTGGATTTTCTGCTGCACAGCAAAGTGTTTGTTTTTCTAAAAATCCCCATGTGTGTGCTTCTCGTGGCCCTGAGGGGCAGTTCTCCTGTGCAGTCAGTGAATACAGCAGGATTCACTTAGCAGCATGTGTTAATGGGAATGACCTATTGGCAGAATAAATTATCCATTTGAACCTAAAATGTGGAAAATGCACTGATGTCTTTTAAATGTGGTGTTTAAAGGAAAATTGTTAATTATCATCAGTGTTGTTGTTTTCATAAGCTGCCAGGGCATCACGATAATTTGACATCTCTGCAACTTATTTATAAATGTTTTGTGCATTTAACTGTTGTTTTCTGCAGCTGAGTAGAAGGTCTCCATTAGCAAGATGCAGTTTTCTGTTTGTCTTTATGACATCTAGAAAATGTAATTGCATAAAGTGAAAAGAAAAAACCATTTGTATGACCTGATCATCATAGGTCACGAAACAAACACGGCCTAATAAAGCGTTGGCATGAGAGGCATGGTTTATGTTTCTCTCCTTGCTCCTCCATATGCTCATTTGTAGAATAGCAAATTATAAACAAGAACATTATTTAATCCTTGCCTCTAGCAGTTGTCTTTGTATGTGCTCTGTGCAGCTTTGATTGAGAAAATGTGAATCCTAAGACCCATTTTGACAGAGATTAGAATTTTCACATGATCATGTGATCCTTCTGGCGCTCACCCTTTGTATCTTGATGTATTTCGATTTTTCTGTCTTTCTGGAAATGTAGGAGAAGGGTTAAAATACAGCTCTGAAAATCCAGGGACTAAGCAGAGCTTATTGATCCCCTCCCATTCACGTACACATTTGATGTGAGAACGCTGACCCAGAAGCACTGAGAGTTAGTTTATTAGTTTTGACATTGGGATTCGTTAGCTCTAATTCAATTAGAAGCACACTGATGGATGTGTTTGTGTGCTGGGGCTGGCAGCTGTTTTAGGTTCAGAAACTTACAGTTCTAGTAGGAAAATTGTTTTGTGCAATCTTACCCAAGATTTGTATTCCTAGGCTGAAAGTGACATTGCTCTTGATTTGGTTTTTAATAGATTTCTCAGTGTTTCCAGTTATGTTTCTAATTAGAATAATGTCTTATTTCCCTCAACAGTTTAAAAATAATGCAAAGTCTTTAAAAGAGAAGCTATCAAGATGATTGAATAATGTTTTATTTTTTAATTGTTAGTTGGAAACCTTCTTCTACTAGGCTATGGGAATAATTTTGGTTTTTACAGAAGGTTATGGTGCAATTGTTGCTAAGCTTTCTTCTGTCAGGGTGTCTTAGGGCTCTTTCCATTCTCACCCCAGCCCATAACCAACCAGCTGATTCCCTTTCTAGTGGGAAGACAACACCTCTCTCCTTATGTAAATGTTAGCTTTTCAGGTGTGAGATCTGCTGCTCTCTGTCCTTTCCCATCCCGGCAAAGCTCCTTTCCTTTGCACCTGGGGCAGGGTCTTTTGCAGCAGAATTGTTTTTCCAGGCCTGAGAATGTTTTTCTGCCCCTTAGAACCAAGATTTATGGCTAAAGGGATGGATGTTTGAGTAACTGTCTCTGGAAGCCTGAGAGTCCTAGTTGAGAACAGAGTTGTAAGTCAGCTAAAAATTGTCTGCAGTGGAAAGAATGTAAGGGAGAAATGGAACTGGTATTCAGTAGTTGGTAGAACTTGGTCTTTGAGGAAAAGACAGATCTAAACCTGTGGCAGGGGGTTCAGGCAGTCTGGGATGGAGGCTACATCCAAAGCTATCTCCACAGCTGCCAGCTCAGAGAGCTCTGGGGCCCTGACTGGAGCAGTGAACTTACCTCTCTGTCCGTGGTTTATCATGGCTCAGTGCAGCTACCACAGGAGCCTGCCCGTGCTTTCCTGGAGCATGACTTCAGTCAAGCTTTTGTGTGTGGGATGGTGTTGCCATGTGTGTAATTACCTTGGAGGTATGGGAGAAAGTCTGGGAGCTCAGGGGCATGAGAAGGGATGGCATTCCCTTTCTGCTGAGTACTTGTGACATGCTGCAGTGATGGAGGAGGTTAGAACAGTGCTAAAGCTGTGATGCTTGCCAGGAAAATCTGTGACTGCTGATAAATGTGTATTTGCAAGGTCAGAGTAGTGCTGCACTTGGTAGCATCGCACATGAGGTTGAGAATATGTGGCAAGTTGTGTGTTCTGACTCAGCCCCTGGAGTGGGTTGTCTCTCACAGAAGGCTCAGGACCACATTACTTTGTGTAATGGCTTATTCTGTAATAAGGATACTCCATTTTTTTTAGTAGTATAATCAGTAAGACACCAATTAATGATAGTAAAACTTTGTGGTTTTAGAAAACCTTTTGCTGTCAAATGGATAATTAAATTAATTTGGTTAGAAAAAATCCCTGTAAAGCTTGTCCTCTGTCTTGCATCGTCCTCCCAAAACTGAACCCTGAACATGGGATGCTTTTGGGGTTGGGCTTCCTGTCTGGCTTAATTTGCAGAGCAGCTGGCCCAGATAAGGTGCAGAGGGAGGCTTTCCTTGTGTTGGATGCCACTTCAGAGTACAAAAAGCAGAATTTGAAGTGCTTTGGTAGGCAGCAAATTAAACAGAAAAGAGAAGACTTTCAAGTAGTTTCAGGAGCTTCATGTCACCAGATGCTTTTGAGGCTTGACCAGCGTAAAAAAAGACTGGGTACCTATTTGTTATCAAGTATCACAATTCCTCCAGTGAGATTAAAAAATACATAATTTTCTAAAGGTAAACTGCATTGGTCTGGATAATGAATCAGTTTCTAATAGAGAAGAATTAAAATTTATCCATAAGGAGCTTCTTCTGATTCTGCCTGTGTGTGGACTTCTGCATGTCTTTGAAATGGGATGTAGAGCTAGATGGGTCCTTTGATCTGATTTCTTATCTGGTATAGTTATAAATGCTCCTACTTAGAGCTTGTCAGAGACTGTTAGTATTTCAGTGCAGTGAAAAAAATCTTTGATGGTTGAGGCAGGCCAGATATGCCTTGAAGAAAAGTTCAAGTTTTCTGAGCTTTTTTGTCTGTTCTTCCCTTCAGGGTATACAGCATGGCCCAAACAGAGAAGAAAGGTGGGCTGCTCCGGAAATCTTCAGCCTCCAAGAAGCCTTTGAAAGAGAAAGTGGTGTTGATGTATGATGAAATTTTCACGGTAAGCAGCTGAGCATCTCTTTTTTTCTAAAGGGTTGTGTTACATTTTCTTGGTTTAGTTTATCCTGAGGGTTTTTTCCAGTGGATTTCTTTCCTTAAGGTAAGGCCTGCACAGTGTAGGCACATGCTCCAGGCTCTCCTGCTGTCATGCAGAACTCTGTGTTCTGTTCTCTTCCAAAATGTCTCTGTACAAAGGTTCTGGTTCTGTTGCCTACCAGAACCTACCATCTATGGGAAGTAATGGCTTTCCCAGCATTTCTCAAATAACAATTCAGAAAATAAACAGAGGCATCCCAATTGAGAGCTGCTTCTCTTGGTCCTTCTTTTTTTCTGGGAATCTCTGTAGCCAGAATTCTGCACTTTGAGACCTCTTGGTCATCTGGCAGGTGATGCTGACTCTGAGCTACCTATGATAAAGACTTTCTTTAAGTTCTGCCTGAATGATTTCTTTGCCCTCATGCTTGTTCCTTTTCCTTACAGACAGAGGACCCCAGTAAATGCAACCCTAGGTTTTGGGAGGAGCTATTTCTCATGAAGGTAACAGACCGTGAACATCCTGTTGCTGTTCTGCCTACAAAGTGGCAGACAGTCAGTGCAAGGGCTTCTGTTTCTAAGCTGTTGGTGATGGTATAATGTGCCTGAACTGCTTCTTAACCTGACAGGTCAACCTGGAGTATCTAGAAGGCAAGCTGGAGGCTCTGGATGGGGAAGAATTAATGAAGATAAAAGACAACATCAACTGCTTGTTTCAGCACTGTATCCAGGCCCTGGGTGAGGAGCACCCAATCAGAGTGGTGAATGCATTACAGGTACCACGCTGGGGGACAGGGAATGCTGTCTTTTTACTTCAGATGCTGGTATCAAACACCTTGTGCTTGTTTCTTTGTTACTGGGAAGTGAAGTCTACAGGGCAGTTGTTACTTGTTGTCTGTGGAGGTTCCAGACATTCATAGTCTCTGTTCTTGGCACAGCAATAGATGCTTTCAGAATTCATGAGGATCTGGTGATGGAGGATGAAGTGGATGGCAGTGAAGAATCAAAGGAGCTTGTTCACATTGCAGGCTGTTGGTTTGGTGTCTCAAAAGTACTTAGGCTCTGTAGTTGTGTTTTACTTTCACCTCTTCTCCCTTATTTCAGCTGCCTTTTTCAATTTCCATTTGGGTCAAAAAAGAAATAAAGCTCTGGAAGAAGTTAGTGTGAAATTTACGCAGGAAATTGCCTCAGCTGGACACTTCCTAATTGGAAGCTGTGAAGAATTATCACTCAGAATTCATAGCCATTTTTGTGCAGGTTGTTCCTTACCAAAGCTCTGCTGCTCCATATCTTGTGGGAGACTCCCCTCCTCAGTTTTGATATTTGATGTTAATAGTTCACAAGCTGATTCTCACAGTTTGGTGGATGCATTTGTTTTAGGAGTATGCAGAATGCATTTCAGCTTTAGGAGTACAGGATAGGAAATTCAGGTCTGAAGAAGTCATCTGTAGGAGACTTTGGACCAGCAGTGATCTGGGAAAAATTGGTTTAAAACAGAATATTACATCTCTGTACAATCTTGCATTGCTTTATTGTTATTTTTAGACAGCTTAGACCAACCCCAAATTCTTAAACTTCTATCCATACTCTTGGAAGAACTTAGGGCAGGTCACAAGAATCCTGCTGTGTGCATGTAAATAGGAGCCAGGTAACACATCCTGAGCTCAAACTGGGAGAGTGTTCCCTGAATCAGACTATGTTAATGTGGAAAGTGATCCTGAAGCCAAAACTTACTTAAGCAATCCTTTTTTTTGGGAATCAGCATGGTGACCAAAGGTTTGTTTAGCCCAGTATCTGTTTCTGACAGTAACCAAAAAAAGAATGTCTACCTTACCTTTTTGCTTTTGTGTGGTTCTAGAGGTCTGCTAACTCCATCAGGTCTGTCTCCAGCTTTACATGTGAAACTAATTTTCTCTCACTGGTGAATTTAAGCTGGATTCTAAAAGTGCAGTCGTTGTATTCCTGCTCATTCCCCTCTTCACAGGCCTGAGAGGTGCCTGATGACAAAAGTCACCTCAGACATTTTTGTCTTTTAGGAGAAATAAGTAATTTGCTGCCTATAAATTTTCCAGAGAGTCTGCTGATAGTGTGCTGATACCTGTGTATCTTCAAGAACTTGGAATGAAGCAGTAATTAAGCTGCCTAATAGACTTGGAACCTTTTTTTTTTTTTGTGGGAACATTGGTTCTTCTTGTTGACAAAGACACAGTTTATTGGTCCAACTTGGTATAGCAATGTGGTAACCAAACAGAAATTTGTGCTCAAACAAGAAAAATACGGACAAATCTATTCTTCTCCAATTTTTACGAATTTTCAGCATCCAAGGTACATTTTTAGAAATGCCAGAGCTGGAGGAGAGGTTAGACAAAATGTGTGGCCTCCAGGCTGGTGATATTAATTTCGGTATCTGCCAGTGCTAGGAGGGGATCATGCAGTGGGTTTTGCTGTTGAGTTGGAGGTGTTGCTTTACATCTCGCCTTCTGTTTTTTCCCTTTGCAGACTTTGTGTGCATTGATCCGGGGTGTCCATCAGAAGAACAAATCCACTTCTGGGTTTGACATCATCAACATGCTTGTGGGTTTTGACAAGGCAGAGCTGTGTATGAAGGTGAGCCCTGGCAGTACAGAGAAGCAGTTTGCACAGCAGCTGTGTTGTTGCAAGGGCAGTGAATGTACATGGGTGTGTCTACCAGGCAGCAGCTTTTGGGGGAAATATTGGAGCCACTTACTGAAAGTAGCTGTCCTGAAGTTCTGTACCTGCCAGTAGCACAGACATTTGGGGTCCCTGGATTGGTTAGTAATATAACAGAGCATGTTCTTTTTCTTTAGTTCCACACTGTGTAGTCACTGTTGTTGAGAAACCTTAAAGCCAGAAAAGGCTGTCACAATCACCTAATATTGAACCTCGCATCTTTTTCTTTATCTGAGAGTCATACCCTGTGTTCTCATCACTCCATCAGCACATGTACTGTTTTAAACCTACTTGATGCTCTTCACTGTAAAGATGTTGAGTTTGGGAAATGACAAAGTAACCAGTGATAAAGCTGAATTCTTGTTGTATATTTCATCTCTCTACAAGAGTAGCAATTTTTCTTCTCTATACAAACTGTAATATATTTGGGGAAAACATTAAGTAGTAGTTTGCCTATCTGATTTTTAATCATAACTTATGTATGTATTGTAAATTGGAGCTGTGCTGCTGCATCTAGAGAAAACTCATGGAAAAGGATAATGATGTTCTACCAGTAGTCATTAAGCTGTAGTTAACACAAATAGTGTTGAGAAGCAATAGTAAGAATATGGTCTGGATAGCAGTAGTAATGGCTCAGTTATTGATTCTGGAATAACATGGCTTTATATTGGTGCTCTGCTGCTTGAATCTTCCAGAAGGTTTTATATAAAAAACATTTCAAGTAATTTAAAATACTACTTTTAAATAATGTGACTGTTGTTCTTTAGAATCTGATGGAGAGCTTGGACTCCCTCCTCTGTGCAGAAGGTTCTGAAAGCCTCAAAAGCTTGTGTCTGAAGCTACTTCTCTGCTTGGTGACAGTAAGTAATTAACAGCTGTATAATAACTTAAGGGCTTATATGGGCCACATCTGAGGGATGGAGCTGTTTCAAAACTTGAGCAGAATGCTGCAGTGTGAAGCTTAAGAAGGAGAAAGAAATGGTGAATGAGAGCCAGTGTCAGTCCAGAATGTGCGTGATGGCTCCAACCATGATGCCAGTGCAGACTAGCAGACACTTTTCATCCTGTTAGATAGGTGCCAGCTGGGGCTGAAGGGGAGAGGCAGGAGGAAGTATCAGTTGGATTCACAGGTGTGGGTTTTTTAAAGGAAAAAATACTTAAGACGTTTCAGATGAATGGAAAGGAAGGGAGAAGGGTTGAGGCAAGACAGAAGGTGTGGAAAACCAGAGTGGTGAGGATGTGAAGAATGAGGAAGTTGTAATAAATTGCCACTCATCAGCTTTTGGAGATGGTCAGCTGCGAACTATTTTGACTGTGATAAGAGATAGGTGAGAGTGGTGGAGCTTTTCATTGCCCTCTTCATGATGGGAAGCTTCTCAGTGCAGAATACGTGCCCTGTTTTTCATTCTCTGCCTCCTGTGTGGAGCCTGCAGCAGCTGATGGCTGTTGTCATTCATGCAGCTGTGTAAAATGCCAACGTGTGGAGGAGTGGGGGAGCTCTTAGTCTGTGGGTGGTGCTTCTTGGCAGAGAGAGGGCTGGCAGGCAGGACAGATTTCTTTTACTTCATGTCTAGCTCTATTGCTAGTCACACCTTGACTTGCTAAGTGTGAGATTCTGGATAAATGTGTCCATCTGGAAGCAGAACTCTCTGGTTCCCAATGTGTGCCAGAGGCAGCTACAGCATTGGTGGAAGTTGTGGATGAGCTTTTAAAACTTGTGTTTGTACTCAGGTGACAGATAACATTAGCCAGAACACCATCCTGGAGTATGTGATGATTAACAGCATATTTGAAGCCATTTTACAGGTAAGGGTTCTTCCTTCTACTGTGGAGGCTCTTCCATAGTGAGAACTTTCAGTAATGTGTTTGCCTTTCAGCATTTTCAGTGCAATGTAGTTCACTGGTGCAGTTGCTGCATCCATTCATAGCTCAGTCATACATATATTTTGTAATGTTCTCTCCCCTTTACTCTAGTCTGCTGTTTTTAGTCACTACTGACTATTTAAAGTATTTTCACTTGAGACATTTCTGCACAGTTAGGTTCTGAACAGATTTCTGGGCTAATTTCACACAGAATTTCTTTACTGGAGAAACTGTTTTTTAAAAGGTAGTGTGGGTATATTTTTTTCTGCTCTTGGATAAATTATACTTTTTTCAGTGGAACTGAGCCTTGGAGAAACCCAGAACACTTGCACAGTTTATGATGAGATACTATACAATGCTGTTGTGAAATATGTGTGCTCTTTATGCCCTGAAAGCCTGTGTGCATCCTGTCTGTGATAAATGAGCTTCTCTGTGTGCAGAACTTCCTTGAGGCACTGACACTGCCTTCACCCAAATATCCTCTTTCAGATAGGACATAATTTGCTCTTGCACATACATTTCATGGCTGTGCTCTGAGTCACTTCAAGCTTCCTGCAGGAGGCCTGACAGAGCAGTGTGGTTGTTTGTTCCAGATCCTGTCCAGCCCTCTCAGTCGCAGGGAGCATGGGTATGATGCTGTTGTCCTTCTGGCCTTGCTGGTCAACTACAGAAAGTATGAGGTAGGTGTAGAAACATCACTTCTCTCTGCTTTATTGATTTAGAGTGGCCTCTGGATTATGAAGGCAGCACACAGTGCAGTTTTTAGCAGAGCACACTGTAGCATCAGGGCATCAGAGTGGAGCAGGAGAAGCTTTGCAAGGCAGCCCTGTTATGTCCCTGTGTCTGTCTCTGATGTGTGTGTACAATCAAATGTGTGTGATACTCCTACAGCTCCTCTGTGCCAGCATGAAAGGAACTACCTAGGGAATTTGCATTTCCTTTGTGGAAATAGTCTGAGGAAGGTCCCTTTGGAAGAGTTGCTGTTGTGCCAAACCACACGTCTGCCTCTGTGTGTGTGTGAGTGTGTGGTTATACATAATCTCCAAAGTAAAATGAGCTGTCAGTCATCCTGGGCTTCAGACTGAATTTGTGATTCAGGACCTGACTAGCTGACTGAAAGAGCACAGATCCCCAGAAGAGATGGTGAAGCTGTGACCAAAGAATGAACTGAAGCATCACAGGTAGCAGTTCCAAGAGAAGTCTCTCTCTCTCTTTTTGATGGATTCCTCTTTGAGGAACTTTATTCATCATGCTTTTTATGTTTATGGTATATTCCCATTTTTTTCCTGTTATTCATCAGCTTGAAAAAAAACATTTCAGATGTCAGAACAACACCTAATGTTGGCTTTTCTTTGTATGAAGCATGATGCTTTAATGATCAGGTTTTTTTTTTTTCTTCATAAATAGGAATATCTTAATATGCTTCATTAGGCAGCAAATAGGAAAGTTCTGGAATAACTTGCCCTTCAACAGAATTACTAGGAGGGAGCAGGCTTCAAAACCTACCTGGTTTTATAATAGATCTTGTTCTGAATTATGAATAGACCTAGAGAATATGCAAGGACAGGAATGACACTTGGTGTCAAAGTAATGCCTGTCAGTTTCTCATTCCTGTCAATGATGTCAGAATAATGAATTGCAGATTCTCTTCAGCATTCTGTGCTGTGGTAGCATGGAACAGGAGCATGGAACCTGATTTCAGTATATGGCTATGAGGGAAAACTGTTGGGAATTATCTGTAAGTGGGGTTACTTATGAGGGTGGACTGGGAAGACCAGAGGTCTCATTGCAGCATTCAGACAAATGCTGGGGAGCTGTGCAGTGCCACCCCTGGGGCAGGGATCCCTGGGACTGCAGTTGATGGCCTTAGTCAGGTAGAATGCTGTGAGTGCAGGAGGCTTGTCCTTGGCTTTCTGGGGAGTATTGAGCTGGGGTCAAGTGCTTTGGAGCACACTCTGAGACATCTTGGAGCTGGGCACTCTGAAGGAAGTTGTGCTGATGTTTGAAAAGTGCAATCCATACAATCCAGCTGAAGCAGATGTGTAGCAAGGGGAACTTCAGCTCAAGCAGCTCCTCTGGCAAGGCTGAAAGTGACTCCCAGGAGGGTTTTATGTGACAGCTGCCCAGCACTGCCCTTGGTAGCAGTGCTACAGGCCAAGCCTCCAGTAATGCAGCCATCATCTTTGTCCTTGAGTAGCTGCTTTCACTTGCTGTTCTTTGGCCCTTAGGGTCAGTATGGTGGTTGTCAGTCAACTGTAGCACACCTTCATGCCTCAGGTGCTTTGGAGTTCTCTTTTGAGTTAACTGTGGTGCAGCTGAGAGGTTCTCTTTTGGTCTGAACTCCATTGGTTAAGTTGTGTTTCCAGTTGTTTAAGAAAATCTAATAAGGCTCAAAATTCATTAGCTGATTATGATTTTGTGTCTGTTTTTAGCATAAATATCAGTGTGTTTTACATTAGGATGTTCTTTTGTAGTTTTGGGATGTGAATTTTGTAATCTCTCAAGTTCCTTGGAGAGTATCTCTCCGTGTTGTCATTACCCATGTTGATGAGATATTGGCTTGCTTATTGACTTCTGTTCTAGGAATTTACATTTCTCTACTTGGAACCTTTAAAGGGATGCCCCTGATTGAAATCCTAATAGTTTTCAGAAGTTGTTCCAACTATATACTTATGCAAGCCATCAGCTATATTTTCTTTTTTTCTTTTTTTTTAATACTAGTCCTGATTTTAGAGAAAATACTTTTACATTGATATTGTGAGAAGGAAAATGCAGTGAGAAAAAAAAAATTATTTGATGACTTTCCCAGTGTTTTAAGGGATGGCTGATAAGATAGGATAGCAAGTTAAAACATAAAATCAAGTAGTGACTTTTGAATACACATTCATTGATAACATGTAGGCAGAAGTTTGTTTGCATCATGTTCAACCTGCTAGAATTGTAGCTTTTGTTAGAGCTGAAAGAAAATAGTTAAAATGTGGGGTTTTCCCTTTGTGTGCTTGTCTGGCAGCATATAGTGTATCCAGCAACTCTTCGTGTCCAGTTTTGTGCACTTAACTCTCCTTGGTATAGACAACTACAGGTCTGAAAGACACAGCTTTGGAACATCAGAAAGTTCATGTGTTTTTCCTTTTTTTTCCCAAAGATCTTGCATTACTCAAATGATTAAAAAAAAAAAATTCTTTAACAAAAAAGTAATTATTCAAGCTCCAATTCCCTGCAAAATGACCTGCCTGCAGATGAGACTTTTATTTTGTGTCGTGATTCAAAATCAACTTTTTTTAGTTTTACACTGACACACAAAACCCATGAAAAATGTGCATTGCTAATCTGAAATGCTTCCCAAATTATTAGCATTTGTCTTTATAGATGAAACCTGTGTGTTTTCTTCAGCTAAATTCAAGGCATTTATATTCTCTAGAGACATCCAGCTCCTAGTGGTGCAAACAAAGTGTTGCTCTCTAGCTCAGCAGCAGATGAGTCCAGAATGTTGTCCTGCCTTCCTGGGTGCTCTTTAAGCAATCTTTGCAGGGTGCTGCAGAGGGGAGATAGCAGAGCACTAATGCTGCGTCCAGCCTCACTGCCTGTTCCTGCTGCAAAACTGTGTGTGTGTCACAGATAACAGGCTTGCAGGATGGCTGCTCCACTTTCCAGACTGACAGAGGAGCTGGTGAAGGGACAGAAACTCCCTCCTCTTCCCAATAAAATCAGGAGACTGCCTGGCTGAGCCAATAAGGGGAACATGTCCCTGGCTAGTGGTCTTAGCATGTGCTGTGACTCTGCTTGTTTATGTGTATTCTGTTTTATGGAACAGGACAGAGATTCTTCCCAGGTGGTTGTGTAAACTTGGAAACATAATAGTGGTTTTTTTTCCCTGAAAGCTGAACTTAAAACCATTTTTCTTTCTTCTTTTTCACCCCACCTTGAGCAGTCAGTGAATCCCTACATTGTGAAGCTGTCCATTGTGGATGATGAGGCCACACTCAATGTGAGTACTTGGCTTGATTCCTCTGTGCTGCTGGAGATGCTCTTTCACATGAGGTGTGGGGTAATGGATGCCAGCATGGTGTATGGTAAAAATCAGGTCTCAGAACAGTGCTGCTCTAAGGAGCAGCAGTGCAGTGGGTGTTCAGCCCTGTGCTCTTGCAATAGGTTAGGCAGCTCATGGTTTGGACAGTTTGATCACCAGTTACATGGTGATTAAAAAACAGATAGCAAGGAACATGCTAAAGTTGATCTATTATGCATTCATGAACTATCTGTACACTGTTTGCTGTCATGTGCCAAAGAGGCACAGGATGATTTATGCCAAAGGGAATCTCATTTCCAGTGCTGTGTCACTTGATTTTATCATTCCACAAGTAATTTCTTGTAACTCAGTGGAAGCTTGTAACTGAGTCAAGAGTCCTGCAGTATATTTTGGGTTGTAGCTACAGTCTGAGTTTTATATCCAGGCCTGGATTAAAATTGACAGCAGACTGAGTTATGTGAGTTCTGGACATGGAAGCTGCTCTTTAGGCATGAAGTAGAAAGCATGCTCCATGCTAAATAAAGGGTGAGAACTGTTAGTAGTTGTGTAATAGTGGAGGCTGTTTGCAAGAAATCAAAGGTTATTCATGTCTATGACTCTTTGTTTTGAATTTTTGGATGTCCTTCCTCTGATACCAACTTCTTTCTAAATTTCTTGATGCTTTACTGAGACTTTTTGAGTGAGAGCTCTGTCTGGAGGTCCAAGAAGAAGAGATGCTTTCTGTTTAGCTTAGTAATTAGTAAATAACTTTCAATTTGGTTGTCTGGGTTTTTGTGTTATAATGTTGTTGTATCATAGCACATCTTAATAGTTCAAACAGCTTCAAGGGAAATTCTGAATAGCCTGCTAGGTTATCTTGGGGAGGGCAGCATTGCAATGTGTATTCAGAGTGTGGTTTTTTTCTCCCTTGAGATTTTAATGTGTAGTTTTTTTTAAATGTGTTTTTTTCAGGGAATGGGACTTGTAATTGCCCAGGCTTTATCGGAATATAACAGGTAAAACCAAATTGGGTCTTGTTTTTCAATGCATGATAGTTACTGTACATTTTCACAAACTTTATTTTCTTTTTGTCTTAAAGCACTTGTTTATCACCTGACAGCCTTGATGCACCTGGAGAGGCAGGGAATAATCTTATTTTTTGAGGTACTTTGATTCAGTTGATGCAGTCGTTGCAATTCTCAGTGCATCTGCACCAGCTGGGCTGATGTGCTTCAGGAGAGATCTTGCTGTAGGGAAAGATATCCATTGTCTGTTTTTACTGTCATGGGTTTTACCTCTGTATGAACTTTGTGTAAAATCCTAATTACAAGTGAAAAGATAATTTGCTGACAACTTCTCTGTTGAAAAATTGATTTAGCCAAAAAACTATCTACAACAAACAAACAAATGTATCCAGGGCTGTCCACATGCCAGATCAGAGATGATTAGGAGATGTAAACTCTTTCAAATGGTGGAAAGCGGTAACTCCTGCTGAAGAAAAGAGCTAGAAAGTCAGCAGAAAGGGTAGCATATTCTTAGCCTCTACTTCATAAATAGCAGCATAAAACAAGCTTTTCTAAGAGGAAAGTGCTTTAGAAAAATTTGGAAACTTACAGCAATTTCACCTAGGAAACTCAAGAATTTTTTTGTGCAGTAGGATTCTCAAAATATCCAGATAAATGTTTTAATTCCTTTGAAAGCCTGCTGTGATAGTTATGCAGCTGACTTGCAAAATCAGCAAATTATGTAGATGTATTTAACAAAGTAAATTATTAGACTAAAGCGGAAAAAAACTTCACCTACCCAGTTTCCTTCATTCTGACAAAAATTGTCTCAGATCATGGCCTGTTTTGCTTAGCTCATTCCTTCCCCTTTTCCCAGGAATTTAGAGTTGGTTTCTTGGCATATTACATGTGTGTGATCAGATTCCTGTGTGACAGACAAAATAAATGGCTGTGGGAGCTTTGCTAGTCCCTTTGAGTGCCAGATGATGCAGTGTAGCTTAAATCTGAGGTACCCAGCCTGTTTGTTGACTTCACTTGCTCTAGTTCCAACCTCTGCACTTGCTCCAGGAAAATGGGATCAGGCATGAACCATAAAGGTCCATGTGGACCATGCTGGCCATTTCTGCACTCAGTAGAGTGACCAACTCTGATTCTCTGATTTTTTTCTGTAGTGGATGAAGTGAAACTGTTCTGTGGTTACTGACACTGTGTGCCCATGTGGCTTATTACTGTTTGTCCAGTGCAGGACAAAATTTCTGAAGTCACTTGATCCCTTTCTTTCAGAGTTAGCCCAAACTGCTTTTGTCCTCTGTAACAGCACAAGGGTTGTTCAAGTTTCACATGTTTCTGCAGCCTCACTTCAACTCTACACAATTTACAAATATTTTAATACCCTTTGTCTCTTATTTTGTGAGTTCTTGAAAAAGGCTGTTGAATGTTGAACTTTGCTCCATCCTATATTCTTGTCAGATAAAACTAACATGTGGAGATTTAGGGGAAGTTACCCTGGTTCCATTTCTAACCCTGAAATGTCATCCTTATACCTTTTTGTTCAGGCAGTACAAAGATAAAGAAGAGGAGCATCAGACTGGTTTCTTCTCAGCCCTAACTAACATGGTAAGCAAGGAAACAATGTTTTTCCATTCTTACAAAGGTGCATTCATGCAAGTTCAGCAGGAGAGTGTTTCTAAAAAGTTTGAGTTTGGAATGTGAGTTCTGTAGATAGAGATGGATTGAACAAATCAAAACTAAATACAACTAAAGTGGTTGTGTTCTGAGGAATGTGTTGTTTGGCTGGGAAAGCTCTTTCAAAGGACTCTCTGATCTCTACTCTTGTGTTGATAGCTGAAATTTCTTTTCTTGCATCTTTTTCACTCTAGGTGACATTATTTTAAAAATCACCTTATTTTAAACTTTAAATTTAAATTTTTTTAACTTCTTAATCCTTTTAAACAGCTATGCATTTTTAAAAACTACTTGCTACTCTGGTGACGTGGCCTAAAACATAGTGGCACATAGTCTGGAATGTCACTAGTCTTTGAGGTTCTGTTTCTTTACTGTTTTGTTTTCAAGCATGGATGCACTTTAGCCATGGAGTAGAGCTTGGGTTCTGCAGTGGGCACTGTCTGCATTTTTGAAAGGGTACTCTTCAAAAGCAGTTGTGAATTTCTTCCTTGTAAAGAGTATCCACTGTTCCCCTTGTTCAGTTTAGCTTTGCTTTAGTCAGAGATGTCATAGTATTCTGAGATTTAACAGACAGAAAAATTTCCTGTAGGTGAGGGTAGTTCAGTGTAGACAACTCTCTGTCAGGAGTGACTTGGGTAAAACTGCATCCACCCTGGGGCAAGCAGGTAGGAAATGATCTCTGTTGTCCTCTTAAAAATGGCAAACTAATCCAGGCTGGGGTTCAAGATCCAGTTGGTTTTTTTTGTCCTTTTTTGTGATTTGACAGGTGAGGCATTGGTCAGTAACAGTACAGCAAAATAAAATGTATTTTCATCCATGTGTTGTCTGTTGTTGTCTAATAGCTTTCCCAAATTCCTGCTGTGCAATGCTCTCTCTTTCCATAGGTGGGCAGCATGTTCATAGCAGATGCTGATGAGAAGATCTCTGTCCAGTAAGTGCACAGATGTTATTTTATTTACACAGTGGAGTGGTTGCTGCTCTCTGTCCTCTCAAAGAGCTATTTAATGTCACAAAGCAAACTAGAGGAGCAGGTTCTCCTGTCACTGAAATGGTACCACACCCTGCAAACTGTGGATTTGCCCTTCTGTGAGAAGGGTACAGCAGGAGGAGACACAGCTGAATTGCTTGTAATGAAGTCTATAAAAAAAACTCCAGTGTTTTTTATGAGGTATTTATGACATGTAATAGGTGTCTCAGAGGTGGCACATGAGAAACAAAAGTTCGTGCACTCTGGCCCTCACCAAAGTTTTCTAAATTAAGGGGGCAAGTGATAAATATGAGGGATTTTAATGTCTTTAGAACCCTATGCTCTTAAAGGAGAGGACTTCAAATGGAAAACACTGAGCAACTATGGACATCTTCAGTGGGAAGGCAACAAAAATTGTAGTTGTGCTCTAAAAATAGCTACTTTTATGGGTTGCTACTACTAGTACTATTATTAGTGCTACTAATAATTGGAAGAACAACTGGACTGCAGAGGCAGAGTTTTCCACAGTTGAAAAAAATTCTTGTTTTTTCAGATGGGCCATGCTTCTGAAAAACTTGGCTCCTTGTATTCTGATCACTAACTGTGTCTTTGTCTGCATCCTTCCCACAGAACAAATGAAGCAATCCTTCTGGCCCTCTATGAAGCTGTTCACTTAAACAGGAATTTCATCACAGTTCTGGCACAAGTGAGTTTCAGTGGAATGCTTCCCCATTTCTTTGTAGTGAATGTCTTTGAAATCAGAGAGCCAGAAATGGAATTGGTGAAAAGAGTTTGCTTTGTTTTTTTTCCCCTTTATATACTTGTCATAGGATCAGCATGAAAGAGCAGGAGCAGGCCAGGACCAGGGGAAGAATTTTTATTATATACTTTCTGCCTTGACAGTAAATGAGTAGAGTTTTGAGGTCACAGTTCATGTTGAAATGATTAATTTTTGCCACTAAATGGGAAGGGCTGCATGGAGTGCCTTCTGTGCCCTATTGATAATCCACTTAGGGGCAGGATGGAGTGAGCAAAGCAGTTGCTGTAACCCTCAGAGCAAATCACAGTTTTGTTAAGTTAGGGTTGAGAGAAAGAGGCTGATTCAGCTCCCAGATTGGATGGATTGTCCTGTATGTGTGTGCATGGACTGTGTGTTGTTGTCTCTGCGGGTATTCTTCACTTAGGGACCAATTGACATGTGACAGTTGTTGTTTCAAATACTCTTTTGTGTTCAGACTTCCTTGAAGAGCCCAGCCCCTTTGGCATGGGAACCAGTTGTTGGAGCATGGCATTTGTCCTTGGGCTTTTTATGATGGAGAAGCAGCCTTCTGAGAGGCTGCTCTGATCACAAGTCTCTGGATGCTTTTCTAACGCTGTGAGAGGTTGGAGAGGTGGTTGCTGCTGGGAGGCAGATAATGAGCCTGTCTGATGCAGTGATTGTGCTGAAAGGGTAGCCTGATGGACCTTCAGGTTCAGGCTTTTAATTTTGGTCTGTAGGTACTGCTTGTAATCTGTGAGAGGAACAGCATCAACAAAGCAATGAACACCTTTCCCCAGTTTGCTCAGGTCCTCAGAGTGCAGCCATAGATCTCAGGCTCGACACTTGGCATGATAGAGGAGACCTTTGGGGACTCCTGGCAGTAGTGGTGATGGAAGAGGGCTGATAAGCAGATCTACAGCCTCTGAAGAAAGCTTCTGTTTCATGGGTGGTTAATTTGCTGAAGTTCCCTGCTTGTCTTTTCCCAGGTTATTCATTCCTACCATTTCTCAGAGATTTCTGCTCTTTCAGTTCTGTGTAATACCAACTCAGGCCCTTCTGTGGGCAAGATACTCCTGAGGGAAGAGAGGCATTTGGCAGGACAAGAGCAGAGCAGAAAAAGATCAGCTAGAGATCAGCTCTTAAAAGCAAAAGGATAGACTAGTTACTTGTGAAAGAAGTTGAAGCTGCCACTGATCAGTGGGTTGAATTGGAGAACTGATACTCTTGGGTGGATTGTCTGTAATTCTTCATGTAAGAGAGGGCAAGGTAGGTCATGTCATGCTGAAAAAACCTCATAAAAGCTGATGAATGCTCTTTCCTAAGCTGGTGTCCACTGCTTGAGGCTGCACGAATGGCTTCCTGCTGCTGTGTGGCACATGGGAAGAGCAGGCATTCAGTTGTGTGGGTATCTGGAGTGTTGAGTGTGTGCTCACCAGCTGTGGGTGCTTGGGTTTGCTGCTGGGTGGCACTCTTGTCTCTCAACTGCCAGTCATTGTTCTGGAGAAAGAAGCCCCTAAAACCTGTCTAAGGAAATCTGGCTTATGTAAGACTTTCAGTGAAAAACTTTCAGTGAAAAATTATATTTTAAGTGTAAGTTGGTAGCTGTAGGGATGTAAATTATTTTTGAGTTCTAGTATGTGTGTCTGTGCTTCCCATAAAATATATGCATTTATAGTTGCTCATAAAATATGAGCAACTATATTCAACTATATTCAGATATTCAAAGGCAATGTGGAGGATATCCACTTGTGAAAAATCTTTTAGAACTAACTAACATAAAATCAGCAGTTCTGTATCTTCCTTTTATTTTGAAATTGTGATGATATATTAAGGCAGATGATACATTTATGTAAAACTTGCCCTATGAAATGGACACTTTGCTTGGCAGCCAGGCTCAAAAATAGCATGGCAGATTGCCTGCACTCCCACCAGTGTGGATGGGTCCGGAAGCCTGCAAAGAGTGAAGTCAAAGCAGTAATTAGGCAGGCAACTATTAGCAAAGATGAAATGGGGAGAGGGACTGGCTGATGGAAGCTGGGAGGATCAATAATGATAGTATTATTTATGTTATGCACTGTTTTCCTGCAGGGCTTTACAGTGAGACAGGAAAGTAATAAATTGCTATTATCTTTGAATATGAACAGGTGGGGGGCAGGAGCAAGGAGAATTTGCTCTTAGAAACAGAAGTAAAAGGATCGTGGGGGAAGACTTCAAATGCACATCCTTGGGTTGTTTCAGGGAGAATTAAAAGCTATTAACATTGTAGGCTTTTGCAAGTCTTCTCCCATTCAAATTAGGGAAGGGGATTTTTTTCTGTCTGCTAGGGAGAGCCACCACTTTCTGATGTTCTGTTTTTGATGTATTTTTGTGTTTTGTGGAGTAGTGAAATTGATGTACAGTTTAATTGTTAGACATCCAAGGTCAGGAACCATGGCCTGGCTCTTTGGAGAAGAGGTTGAAATTTCTTGAGACTTTTTCAGTCATGTCTATTGTGCAAGAGCGTGGAACAGTACAAGTAGTGATCTGTGTTTCTAGTGCCTGGGGAAGCAGTTGACCTGTGCATTTGTGTTTTCTCTTAGAGCCATCCTGAAATGGGCCTGATGACATCACCAACGAGCCCAGTTCCAACCACACCTGTCACTCCACTTGGAACCACCCCACCTTCTTCAGATGGTAAAAATGCAATGATATCCTGAGGAAAAAGAATTTAAAACTGTTAAATAACTAGCAAACTATCTTCTGGAGACTGCAGCTAATGAGGTCTGTCTGGAGCAGATGTAACTTGGTGGTCTTTTCCTGGAGTAATATGCCTTGCTAAAAATGAGCAAGATTCTTTGACTCAAATTTATTTTTATTTTGCCTTGTGTATTGCTCAATGCAATTATGCTGATATTCCTTCTGAAAATAGTACTGCCCCAATATTTGCATGAAAGTATACCCAGCCCATTAGTTATTCTGTGTAGGCTTTTACTTATGAATATTTCTAGTGTCAGGTCCTTTGCCTGGGATTATTTCTCATTGGAACAGATTTACAGAGAATTGCTGTGGATTCCTGCTTGTCGTTAATGCACTTGTCCTCAGCTTTGAATTAATTGGGATTTGAATTCAGTCTGGGTGTGGAAGTATTCCTCCCTCTTACTGCCTTTTCTTTGATAGGCTTTGTAAAGAAATGCTTAACCTGAGATCTCTCTTCTAAATGAGATGTTATGTGTCCACATAAATATGCTTTGAAATCATCTAAAATAAACCCCTTTCATTTTAGGGTATGGATAGATATAGCCTAGTTGAAGAGAAGAAATGAAATGGCTGTTTTCATGTACTTTAATGTCATCTGAGCTGAAGAGAGTTTAATGAAGGAACAGAGTCAATTTGAGTAGAGCACAGTTTGGAAATATTTCTGGGGAAAAGCAGCCTGGGTTACTCAGTTATATCAGCTATTCAGGTCATTTGATACCCTAGTTAAGGATGATCCTCCTCATGGATGAATTCTGTCTGGTTGCCATGGATAACAAAAGCTTCAGATAAAGAGTCCCCTATGTCTCTGTGTGCATATAACATAAAATGTGGAGGGATGGGCATTTTGTGGGCTTCTGTTCAACGTGTTCATTGCAGATGTATCCACCCCCACACCATATTACACAACTGACAGAATTTATGCTTACCTACATCTACGGCTTGCTTGCCCCTTTTTTCTTTATTTTTGCATTTACCACAAGACAAAACAAAACCTCCATCCTGCTTTCAGCATAGGCAGTGATCTTGAGAAGTTTGTGGCTTCTTGTGGCTTGTATGGTTATTTAATTTAAGAAAAGGATCTGATCTTTATGTGCAGCGATTGCATTGGGAAAGTTGCTTTATTTTTGTCTGCTGTCACCTTGTTGATCCCTACAATGTGGGGGTTTTTTTGCGTGGCCCTTGGCTTGGTTTAGTTTGGTGGTGCTTGAGTACTGCTGTTTTAAAGAGATGTCAGAATTTTCCTCATTTACTAAGGTCTTGCAACTCAGCTGTAAAATTTGCCTATGGCTGCCAGTTAACAAGAGGCTTTTTGGCTTTGGAATGATAAGATTGCTTTCTCTTTAAGGCATGAAAATAATGTGTAGTTGAACTGTTTACAAGTTACATTAACATGTAGAAATCCATCTATCAATTTCAGGTGCTTTTCTTTGTCTGGGATAAAAAAAGGGTTCATATTTTAGTTTGAAATTTCTCTGCCTGTTAACCTATATGTAAATTAAGACCTTGTAAAGTATCAAGATGTGTGTTAAAAAGGTCTGTATCATTAACCAGGATAAGCAGAGATAAGCAGAGATGTGTTCTTCAGAGTGATTTCTTCCTTTTTTTTTTTTTTGAGAAATGAGGCTTTTGCTAGAAACTGTTTATCCATAATATGTAAATCAAGTGTGCCTGTCACCATAGTTATCTAAATGTCAGTTTGCTTACTGTTGTTAAATATTCATTCACTACGTTCATTGTAACAGCTCAAGAAGGATCCACTGGGGATATAAATACATTTTTCAGACTTTTCGCTAAATCTTTGAGCTATTCATAATATTGGGAGTGAGAAAGCTTCCAGACTCATTGCACAGACTTTGCCAACAGACATGGCACATTACTAATGTGTCAGGAACCCCAGGTCTTCAAGACTGAATGGACTAAACTAAACACTTCATGCCTGGGAATGTGCAACCTTTATAACCTAAAGCCCCATTATGTTTTTTTTATGTGATTCAAACAGTGAAGTTACACTGATCTATTTGGTCTCTTGTTTCCAAGGGCTACAGTTTGGTATTGAAGGTGATTGTGTAATCCTGAGTTCCATGAGAACCTCTGCTGTACTCTGGGCCTCTCACTGCACAGTTTAAAGAATCCTGCATTTTACTCTTGGCTTGTCTCCTTCATCCTTCTGTGCTGGCCCTTGCCCCAGTTGATGCCTTACTTGCCTCATTACAGGGTTATGAGATACAAGCCTTGAGTTCTGAAAGGTGTTTTATATTAAAGCAGACTTTTCTCTGAACCAAAATACAGCTGTGTACAGGATGAAATTCCCCTCAGAGCCCCCAGCCTAGTCATCCAACAATCAGATTCCTCACTTCTTACAAGGTCCAATCTCATGATAAATACCTTTTTCTTTCCTAAAAGGTGAGAAAAGCCTTGAGCATTCCTGAGGATGGGCAGAAAAGAGATGATATAATACTTAAGATGTGTGTACTGGTGGTCTGCAAATCAGTTTCCAGTGCAAAGGGTGTCTTGTCTTAGGCTGCTTTTGTAGCATGAGAAGAGAGAGTCTTTGGTCAATCGTAATTCAAGCCATCTATGACCTCTTGAATGTGAGAACCTGTGAGTTTCACCCCCTAGGCAGCCAGAACAGTCATGTTATTGTCATGTCAGGACAGTTGCATAGAGCTGGAAAAGGTCTCATTAACTCTTGAGCCCAGTGCCCAGTGCTTGCAGGCATATCAGCATACAATCCCTTGAATTTATCAAGCTCTGACTGAATCTGTTCAATTTGTTTCCCAATAATTTCTGTTGGGGGGAGTTTTGGCATCTTGTTCCTTGGTTAAAAATATTCAACTTTGCAACCTGGATTTCTTGTCAATTCCTATCCATTTGTCATGGTGTTAAGCCTCCCTTGAAACAAAGGTTGCTCTTCTTCATGTGTTGGTTTACTCACCTGTGTGTTTTGCTGTCTCTCAAGAAAGGTAATCTCTTCTTCTGGCCAACATACTAGCCTGTCTTTAAACTTGTTCAGGTTTAAGTTTATCCTCTTTGAACACAGATTGTGCATAATTATGCACAGTGGTTGAGACAAGGCCTCACCAGCACCTTGTGCAGGGCACTACAGTGTTTGTGTCTCTGCTGGAAGTGCATTTCTGGATATATGTTGTAGAACTGCAGTCCTCAGCCCTTCATGTTGGTAGCTTGTCACCTTGTGATCTGATCATGGTATTTGGTTTGCAGCTGATGAGCTCTCAGCTTGCCATGGAAATAAATCCCCAAATTCCTGACCCTATGGCTTGCATTGTTTAATTTCATCTTGTGTTTATTATCTGTTCTTGTTTTTATCCCATTCTTTGTGTGCAGTCTGATACTCCTCTGTGCTTACACATCCCAACTTTCTGCCATTAGCAGGTTCATTATCAAGCAATTATATCCAGGTTTGTTTCTTATATCCAGGTCACACAGAAAAACAAAGACTTATCCTCTAAACTGATGTCTACAGAATTCAAGCAGTAATTTTTTCTCAGTCCAGTATTTTCTCCAATTGTATGTTGTTTGCCAGATCTTTGATATGAAATAGAAATTTAATTTAATTTAAATTTCTTTATAAGTTCCCACCTATTTCCTTCACTTTTAATTTTTTTATACAAAGCTGTATTAAGTACTCTACTGAAATGTTCCTAAGCTAGCTCCATCAGCTTGGGGATTTTTTTGTCTGAGCTACTTTATCTTAAATGGCATCAGACTTATCTGACAGGATCTGCAGGTAAATGCATGATGCATGTTTCCCACTGATCTTTCTCCTCCCTTTCAATATTTCTTGTAAAGCTTTCCAAATGGAAAGGCAGAGAATGGCCCTTTAGGACAGCTCAGGCTCAGTCATCAGTAAAAATGTGGCTCAGTCACATGGTAGAGGCTTGACAGCTCATAAACTCAGTGCTTCAGATGGTGCATGGGGAATGGGGGAATGAGTGGGGAGGCACATTGTGCAATTAGCTGAGGAGATGAAATAGCTTCTTGTAAAGTCTAAGGCTGATGATGTCCATGGTTAGGGTGTCAAAAGTACAGCTGGTGTGCTAGAGAAATGCCAGTGAACTGCTGAGGGTATGGAAGGTACAGTTCTGCTTCCTGCTGGGTTGGGATGTACCTAGCACAAGCTGTGACTGCTTTTGCTTCTTGGTTTTTATAGATCTTCTGTTTCTGCCTTCCTTTTCTATCTCTTTGGTACTGCAATAATTGTTACATTATGTCTTGCGTGTTGCTTCTGCAAGAGAAACTGTTGTTGAGAGGGAAGAATGGAATCGACACAGACCTTTTGGAAGTAACATTTCAAAATTGCTGAAACAGGGAAGGGCCTTTCCTGGGCATATCTTTTTACAAAATGAGAATTGTGTGACTGTTATCTGTGTTGCTTGTAAGAATTAATTGGATATCAGTGCAAATATCCCGATTTCCCCAGACTGGGGATGTTGATGAGTGCTACAACCATGGGCTCATCTCCCTGGGAGGAGGAGCAGGGGCAGGACAGAGAAGGATATCACTTTGCAGGGTACCACAGTCTGTGCTTAGAGCAGGAGGAATGTTCTCTGAGGGAGGGTACCAGTCTTCATAACAAAATCTTTCCTGGGTGGTCATGGAGGAGGAGGAGGAGGTCAGGTGGCCCTGCAGATAGGCTGAACCTACCCCAGACCTGTGAGTCTGTGTCTTAGTTCTCTGTATAGTTATTTCTTGTATTTGTATAGGATAAATGTGTCTTATCTGCTTTGTTCCAGTTATAAGCTCTGCAGAGCTGCCTTTGGATGCTGATGTGCAAACGAGCAACCTGCTGATAACCTTCTTGAAGTACAGCTCGATTGTGATGCAGGACACAAAAGGTAAGTGAAGTCTGTGCATGCAGCCAACAGTGCTTCTGAAGGCAGGAGGGCACGAGAACATGCCTAGTGACTCCAGAAATAGAAATGGAGTCTCTTTATAAAAAAATTGACGATTTCACCTTTTGAAAAAAATTAAGTGATTTCTTATTGTGAGATAAGACGTATGAAAGTAGGAGAGATGTCAGGTATGGAAAGAATGTAATAATAAAAGATAATACCTAATAACCAAGCCTGTCTATGTGCCAAAGGTGTGAGTATATCTGATTCACAACTATCTGTCAGAGAGGGCAAGTCTGACACCAGAGCTGTCTTTTTAAGAACACTTAGAAACTGACACAGAGGGCAAAGCTCAGCATTAGAAGGAAATACTTCCTTTGTCCTTTGGTTAAACAAGTAGCTCTGTTATTATAAATAGGGCAGCAGCAACTTAGACTGCGTTGGCAGTAATTTGCTTGAGAAAGTATCTGTGTTGTGCTTTTTGTTTCTCCTGTAGTTCTGTGGGGGTTAATTTCAACTTGCTGGAGCTGAAGTATTGCTTAATCTCCTGTTCAGGGTACCCAAGGGTGCTGTTTTGCCCAGTGGTTATAAGGGCAGGACCACAGTGTGAGCATTACAAGTGATCTTTGCACCGTATTTCAGGCTATTACTGACTTTTGCTGTTAAGTTAGATATAACAATAGAAATATGAAGATTTCTGCAGAGCTATGATACATCAATTACTGAGTTTCATGAATGCATAGCATTGAGTAAGAGAGCAGGCAGTTTCCTTTTATCTACTAGCTTGCAGTGAAGTTGTATTTTGCTGTCTGGCACTTGTTCAGTAAGCAAGCTAGGTGAAGAAAAAGTAATAATTGAAATTAGGACCAAAATGAACTTCATGCACCCCTATCTGGTTTTGGCTGGGACAGAGTTAATTTTCTTCTTAGTGTCTGGTACAGTGCTGTGGTTTTGGATTCAGGATGAGAATGATATTGATAGCACACTGATATGTTGGCTGTGGCTAAGTAGTACTAACCCCATGTCAAGGACTTTTCAGTGCTCTGTCAGTGGGGAGGTGCAAAAAAGCAGGGAGGGAGCAGGGCCAGGGTAGGTGACCTGAACTGGCCAGAGGGATATTCCACACCACAGAATGTCATGCCCAGTATGTAAACTGCAGGAGTTACCCAGAAAGAGATGATTGTTGTTTGGGGATGGGATGGGCAGCAGGCAATGAGCAATTGTATAATGAACTGTATTGTGCATCACTTGTTTCTCTTTGGTTCTGTTACCCTCTCTCACTCTGCTGATGATTATTATGAATATCACGATTATGATGATGAGGTTTCAGTTATTAAATTGTTCTTATCTCAGCCCACATGATTTACTTTTTATTTCCAATCCTTCTCCCCACTGTGGGGAGAGGAGAAGCATTGTGAGTGATTGAGCAGCTGCCTGGTACTTAGTTGCTGTCTGGGGTTAAACCATAACTCCTTGGAACCCAGGCAGAATCAGGTTTACCTGTATCTTTTCTCAGAGGTTTTGCTGACAGGTTGGGTGAAGATACTGTGATAATGAAACACCACTTTCAGCCTATCCATTCCAGTGTTTAACTGTCCTTGCTGTGAGAAAGCCTTGTGTGCTTCCTAAATTCTTTGCTGTGATTTAAATTAATTACTAGTTATCTTCTCCAAGATAGATATGGAGAATGTATTATTTCTTTTTTCTATGTGTCATCCCTTATGTATTTGAAGTCTGCTTTCATGTTTCCTCTTGCTTTTGTCTTTTGAACTAAACCACATCAGTCTTGGCTCAGTCATTCTAATAGATTACACACGTGAGAAGGACTTAGCAGCTCTCTAATTTGCTCATTCTCATTTGCTTTTCTCAGGATCGGTCTTGCTGATCCAAGACTCTGATGGAAGAATTTTATATTTTTCAATTTAATTTCTGCCCTTATTAGTCACTGTAATATGAAAAGTCTGCAAAGGGCCTTGGAAGTTGCCACACAGGATTAGTTTCAGATAGAATAAAATCTGATAGAAGGGATTCCTTACTAAACAAGCCAGTGAGAGATGAGTTTATTGTGTTATGAGACAGGAGTTGATGTTTCTTTCTTTACTTTGGTTCTAGCTTGTGTAAGGTCTGAAATTTGTGTAGCTGATAGACCTCCTTCCCACCACAGTAATTCATGGCAGTGAGCTCCACTGATTGATCATTTAAAAAGTGTGCCTTCCAAACCCATACTTATTAATTCTAGTGGGTATGTTCCTGTCCTTCTGTTTTGATTATAGATGCAGCACTGCCTTATTTTTTTTCTTGTATAAGATCAAGCATGGAGCAGACTGCCCAGGGAAGTACTCAAGTCACAATCCCTGAAGGTATTTCAAAGACATGTAGATGTGGCAGTCAGGGACATGGTTTGCTGGGAGATTTGCAGTGCTGGATTAACATTTGGACTCCATGATCTTAAAGGTCTGTTCTAACCTAAATGATTCTGTGCTTCTATGTGACACCAGTGTAGCAAGAAGAATGAATAATTCTCATTTGCTCCTTGTATCTTGAGACAGGTGGGAACACTTAGAGGGGAAACTGGTTTGTTCCACATCCAGGACTAGACAGTTGTTTTGGTCCTATCCCAGAGAGCATAATTTAATAGATTGTGTTTGCTAGAGCCTTCTCTTGTTATCCTCCCTTGTGTCAGTCAGAGGCAGCTGCCTTGGGAGAAACAAACCCTCTGTGTCCTTTTCTCCCATCTGCAAAACAGGTTTTGTGCTGCTATGCCTCCCTGTAGAAAGTGGTTTGCTTTGTTGCTTTAATGAAGGGTTTTGTGAAAGTGTGAAGTGTGTGCAAGTAACTGCTTGCATAGCTGCCCCACAGCTCCTGAAAATGGTCTGATGTTCACAATACACTGGCAGAGGGCAGAGTCCATGGTGTGGAACAGGAGCCCTTACAGCATCATCCACAGAGAGAGCAGTGGTAGCAGCACCTACAGAAATATACAGGGAGGCCTTACAATATGAAAATAACAAGACTCCTGTGTATCAGTTTTATTCTAGGTCATTTCTCCTCCTTGCTGTAGTACAAAACTTCACACTTAAACGTTTTAGCTGAGGTAAGGAGATGGGAGAGGCTTTTAACTCTTCCATTCCAAAATTCCTCTTCATCTTAGTGCTGCAAGATGAAATCAGCACACTTCAGGGCACATCTTGTTAGTAAATATCTGTCCCTGAGCAGCATAGAAAAGAAAACAAAACAGGTGTCAAACTAGACAGAACAGCTAGCTAAGCCCATTCTATCTGTTTTTGTAATTACCAGATATACACCAGCTAGCAAAGTGTTTGTCAAAGTCAACTGCAAAGAAGGAATTTGGCTGATGCTGTCTTCTGCTTTATATGAAAGTGTGTATGACTGTTTCAGATATCCCTCTCCTTTGAGTTTGACTCTAAGGCAGAAGTCTGGGATGGCATGTTTGTACTCCTGTGCTTTAGAGCAGCTTTTGGAAATCTTGGGAATATACAATGTGAAGCCTTCTCAGAATTTAGTTATGAGTGTGTTGTTTATGGTTGGTTTATTTTTGTGGGTTTTGAGGGTGTGTGGTCCAAGCACATTATTATTTAGAATGAAGATTTTTAAATGTGCTTGATTGGGCAGTACCTTCTACGACCTGATCTTACCTGACCCTGCTTTGAGCAAGGATTGAACCAGAGATTTCTTCTATCCTGTGTTACTCCATGACTATATGTATCTTGGTTTTTTTTTTTATATTCAGGGTTAAAGTTGAGAGGGGTTTTAGATAATCCAAATAAAAATTTCATTCTTCTGCCTTAGTCCCGCTGTTTTGCTCCTGCTGTCATTCAAGGCAAAAGCTGTTTGAAGTTGTGAGATGAATAAGAAGTTGTGGAACATGATCAGGGTGAAACTCTTGCCTTAAAATGCTAAGTCTTTGCAGAGTCCCTTCTTTCATGGTTTTGCAAAGAGCAAAGTAGGTCGTGTCTCGCAATGTTGGGGTTAAAGCTTGGAACTTAGAGCATAATGTCAGCAGTTGTTTTGCTACACAGTGCTGTGCCTCTGTGAAAGCTCTGCTGCCTGTTTCATAACCTACAGCAAAGGTGATGTTCTGCTTTGCACCTTGTCTAAGAGAGGGAACAGTGTGTCTCTGCTGTGACAGGAGGACAGTATTTAGAATATCTGTGGAAGTAAAACTGAATGTGACAGAATTGTGGATTGTTGCAATGCTGTTGGAAGTTCAAATCTGAATCTTTGCTGTTGGTGCTGGCTGGTGACAAGTGGGTGGGATTTAGTGGCCAGACTGGAGGGTGAGTACTATCAGCTGTTATGGAGGAAGTAGGACTATGAAGAATCTCCAAGCTGGGCTTTTCTTTTGCTGCAACAGCTGTCTTGCTCTTCAGCCTTGCTAGGCTTGTGTGGCTCATGGAGGATTTGTTTTCTCTCCTTCGCAGATGAGCACCGGCTGCACAGTGGCAAGCTGTGCCTCATCATCCTCACGTGCATAGCAGAGGTAGGTTGCTGCTGTGAAGCTGCTCAGCTGATGGTGTGTTACAGGGCTCTATGCCCCTGCCTCCTGTGGGGCAGGAGCTGAATGTCCACAGTGGTACTGAGTGGTGAGGTCCTCAGACACTTACTTGATGCAGGACTGTTAAAGGTGACTTGAAACTTGAAAATGGGATTATCTTATTGGAATTGACCAAATTCTGGGGATGAGTAGAGAAAAGAGTGAACCCAAAGCCTTTTCTCTCTTAACTTTTGAGTGACCCTGTGGTGTGGCTTTTAGATGAGTAATGTGCTAATGGCTTTCAGCTCTGAGCTGTTCATGGTAACCATAGGCTGTGCCATATCCCTTCTGCCAAAGAAGGATACAAGCTGAAAGTAAGTCACGTGTTTGTAGGTCTCTACAAGCAAGACAAGGAGCAAATGTGGTAGTAAGAAAGGCAAATGTGGTAGGGTAAGAAAGCAGCATCACAGAGTTCTGTCAGCAGTCCTGGCTGAATGTGGCACTATCTCATGGGGACTATGTTCTAATGGCTGACTGATGTCCTGAATGGTGGTTGTGTTTGTGTGGCATTTACATTTTGCTTGCTTGCAAGTAAAGACCTTTCATCCTTAAAGAATAAAAAGCAGTGAGGTTGATAGCCCTTGTAAGGACTCTGTAATAATGTTTCTTCAGAGTGCAGCCTGAAAACAAATCATCTACATTTAAAATTTTTCTAATTAAATGGTTTTGGCACTTGTTCTTCAGGTGGCTGCATAGATAATGTAAGATAAGAAATTCTGTTCCTGCATAACAAGGGCATTCTTTGGTTCTGATATTAAAGAGAGGGTATTTATTAGGTATTCTGGCTGTGCATTATCTGGAGAAGTCTCTTTAATTTGGAGGCGGTCTTGGAATGAGATTTGCTTGAGGGATGGACCAGCTCATAAACCTATCTGCTAGTACTGTAGTAGCTTCTGGAATCAAAATGCCAGAAGAAACCTTTATCCACACAGTCACAGAACTGGTGCTGGAGACCCACCTCTTATATTATATACCTGGAGCACTTGTTAAACTTGTCACACCATGGTGTGTACAGTCCAGAGTTTAAATGAGCAAAGGGGGAGAAAGTTAGACTGAACTACTGCTTGTTTTGTTAGCAATTTATTTTTCTAACGTGGAATTGGATCAGGAGGGGTTTACTTTTGTGTGACTGGAAACATGGGTGGGACAAGAAGAAATGGACAGATAGCTTTATAGCTTGGTGGTTGGTTGTATCTTGGGAGTTTGACACTGGAACACGTGTGATTTGAAAGCCAGCTGTAGGGTGTTGGGCTTGAAACACCCTCTCTTTTTTTGCCCTTTTCAATAGGATCAATATGCTAATGCTTTTCTTCATGATGACAACATGAATTTTCGTGTAAACCTACACAGAATGGTGAGTCTCTTCCTCCAGATTGTTTTCTCTTTAGAATGCAAACACAGAGGATTTGAGTATGTATGAAAAGTATATGTTGAGAATTGTGTCGCAGTCATCTAACCTACATTGCTAAGGCATGTGGAAATACTGTCAGAAATGCAGTAGCTGCAGAATGATTTGGAACTTGCTCTCAGAATGTCTCCATTCTTCAAAGAACAAAGAGCTCTTTGCCCTGTCAGTGAATTCAGAGGCCTGTCTAGCTGGCGAGGAGCTTTGTATTACGAGGTCTCTGAGGAAATCAGTGCTAGAGAGAACATTCTGCCTTAATCTCCAGCAAGCATTAGCCCACATGTGATACATAATAGCCAGCTGGAGTTACACTGAGTGCTCTTATTTGGCTTATTCTGGGTGGAGTAATTCACCTTCAGGGAGGAAAGTGTTTTTTCCAGAGCTTTTTCCTGTGATGGAAGTGACCTTACCTGGCTCACGAAGCTCTGCACTTACTAGTAAGTTGAATAGTTATCCTAACTTGATCCATTCTGTCTTTGTGGTACTGGCACAAAGTTCCACCTCATCTGACAGTGAAGCAGCAATTGGAAGTCACTCACTGTTCAAGAAAGAAACAAACATTTTACTTTATGGAGACCATACTGCAAGAATGCTAGTCATTAGCCCTTAACAACAGATTTGCTATCCAGTTTGCCTTTCTGGTCTGTTTCAATGAACACCAAAGCCATTGACTACTGTACACACTGTTAAGAATGCCAGAAACAAATCAGTATGTTAGCCAAGAGGGAGGAATTTCTGTGTGATTTGTTTTTGTCTTGGGGTCCCTCTCCTCAGTAGAACAGTGCCTCCCAGATAGACAGCTAGAGAAAGAAATCCCCAGTATCAGCATGCTGGAAAGCAGCAATTTTGTTCCAGCCATGGTCTTCAGGATTAGTATGTATAAGATGGCAGTTGGATAAAAAGACAAAAGGAAGCCTGTGCTGATTGTACTATTTGCTTGAAAAACACAGTGATAAACAGACTGTCACTTGAGGCTTGTGCTGACTTCTTTTCACCTTGGTGTGTTTGCAGCCGATGAGGCACAGGAAGAAAGCAGCAGACAAGAACCTGCCCTGCCGCCCGCTGGTGTGTGCGGTGCTCGGTGAGTGTTGGCAGAGCTCCTGGGTGCTCGTGGCTCCTGAAGCATCTCTTGTTGGGCAACAGAAATATGAGGTTTGAGGATTAAATGGAGCAGTGGATGGACTTAAAAGAAGGACAGTTACATACTAAAGATGTTTTCAGCAATCCATGCCCATCTTTGTACATGGCTACCTTGCAGACAAATCCGAGATTGCAACTCTGTAGCAATAAATCCTACATACACTTACAGAAAGTTTTACAGACACTGCTTGGTCCATTTGAGCTGAGTTTTTAGTAAGAGGGAGGGCAGTTGATTAATAAGTTCAGTGTTTAGGTGAGTGTGGTAGCAGCGACAAGTACTTTATAGATGATATGGTAATGGCAGACCTATGGTTCACAAAAACATATTTGTGAACGTGTTTGCTGGGCATTGAGCCTTTTCTGAGCCAAAAAACAACAGGAATGTTAGTAGCTAGGATTGGTTTTGCCTGTGGATATGGAGGCGTAGTTGAAAGCTTTTCATGCAGCACATGATTAAGTTGTGACTCTCGTTACTGTGGAGGCCAAAAGCACATGTGAGTTCAGAAATGGATGGAGCCTGCATCCCTGAATGGCTGTTCAGCCTCATGGTACAGAAGCAGTCTTAATCTTCAGCATTTTGAAACATGATTGTTGAAGCCAAGACACAACAGCTGAATGAAGAATCTTTCTAGAGCTCTCAGATCCCACAGACTCCTCACCTGCACTGTTTCTAGTCACTGTTGAGTCACACTGCTGGGCTCTTACTGCCCTAAGAGGTTACAGCTCAAGATTGTGGCTTGGTATGAATATTTCGTGCTGAAGTTGGGTTGAACACACCCCCACACATATTCATTTGTCATTGATTAGCTTCTCTCAATTGTATTTCTATACTCTTTGCCTCTTATATTCATACTGGAGGCCCTTAAATGTTAGACACATTCTACTTTTTTCTTTTTTCCCTGAATTAGTCTTAAGCACAAGCTTAGCCTCTGTTGAGGTCAAACTAGCTTTACTTGCTTCAGAATTTATTTTAGGAAAAATAGGTGTTATTTACAATGTCTCTTTAAGTAGCGTCTAGGTTGTGCATTGTTTCTAAATAAATTTCTAAAATGTGCTTCTTAATGGAATTTTCCATTAGTGACAGGGCTTGAAATATGAGAGCAATTCTAAACATCAGAAGTCATGGTATAGTCTTTATTTGACTAATAGTGGGGGAAACCATATGGGGAAGCAGTGCCTCAAAGCAAATTACAGTATGTACCCTCAGTTTCCAGTAGGTTCTTTTCTAGTTCTAGCAAATGTCTACTGTTCTTTAGAACAAACAAACAAAAAAGTGAAATCCCTTTCATCTAAGCAGGACTATTGTCTGGCAGAGATAGGTAGGTGGGGTAGTTTGACTTCCTTGTAGCCTACTAAAAGCTAACAGTAGCCAGCTCAATACTTACTTTATAATTTTCTTTTCTGTCAGATTTGATGGTGGAATTCATTGTAACACACATGATGAAAGAATTTCCTATGGATCTCTATGTGTAAGTGTCTGTGGGGTAACTCACCGTGATTTCATTTGAAGTTTGAATTTAGGTAGAATCCTGCCCATAGAGCAATCTTCTGGCTGAAATAACACTTTGTGGCTGGTGGGGAGTGGGATGGCTTTTCATGAACTCTTCCAGTAACTTTTTCTACTTCAAAAATCCTCTGTGTGCCAGAAAATTGAAAGCAATTCAATTTCAGACTGTTTCCCTAATCTACTTGATCTAACACAAAGAGCTTTTCAGTCTAAAAGAAGTTTCGTAACACGGAGTCATTGCAGCAATCCCCACTTCCCAGAAGATGAATCTTGGTCTAGAAACAGAAAAGACAGTTTTGAAAAAGCAAGGATGACTGGCACGAGGCCTGAAAGGCAGTGTGGAGAGGGAGGGAGGGAGGGAGGTTTAAGGCTGAGATGGCATGCTAGGCAGCAAGGGGTAAAACTCAGCAATGGACAAAAGGAGACCAGAGGACAGAGCTGCTCCTGAGCACTCCCTGCGTCCCACAGGGGCCTCTCCAATGCTTTGTACTGCTTTAGCCTGGAGGGCAGAAGTAGGATTTAGACAGTTTGTTGGCCTTGCTCTGACTGTTTGTACAGTGCTGAATTTCCCCAAGATGTGAACAGCACTATATTCTGGAGCAAAGATAAAGATAGGATGTTTTCCCTTAAGGTAACTTTTCAGCATATTCTGGTTTTGCCCAAATAACCTTGCAATTACAGTGCCTTTTCAAGGGTTGTGCAGTTCAATTGAGTTTGTGAGAATTTCTTTTTTTTAATGACAATTGCAGAACTAATTATAGACGGATGTAATCCTCTGAAGTTTGACAAGAAAGGTGTGAAATGCTTGGACTCAAAAGTAGTATCACATCTAGAAACCCCATAACGTTAGAAATAATGAGCAGTAGCAACCATCAGTGGACATTTGTATCCATTTATTTTGTCATGTTTGTGCAGTCCTTTCACTCTGCTCCTGTCTGAAACCATCCCATAGCAGACACAGTTATTGCAGACAAAGCAGGTGTTCTGAATGCACAAGTAGTGTCATACTTCTCTGCAGTGCATTTAAGAGGTGACGATATGAAGCTGCACAAGGTTGGGCATATTAATATTTAAAAGAGAAATCCAGATTCCTTAGACTAAGAGTGCTTTTTGTCCATTATTTGTATTATGAATCCTCAGCACGAAACTTTTAAAAACCAGAGACACCCCACCAGGACGGATAACTTCATAACTTGACTTACAGCCAAGCAGATGCAAAGGTTAGATGGTGCTGGACATTGTCCAGTACCAGTAACATCAGAAACAGGAGATTTCTCCTCATAGGGGTTGCTGTTCCTGATCTGAAGACAGCTGTCTATTCTAGCTGGTTTGCTTTCTTTTCTTGGTTGAATTCATGAGAATCCAATTTGAAATGCAGCACTTAATGTCATGCTCAGTGATTATAAATAGTTTTACCTTTATTCAAAGTTAGTTTCAGTTCTTGCCTTATTGTATTTTTGGGATTATCTATGGGTCTGAAAAGAATGATGTATACCTTCTGCATCATATTTTTTTGCTACAACCTTGTTTTAAAGCCTTGTCTTGAACTTTTCACCTCATTTTGAATAAATTCCATGCAAATTTTTAGAATTTAATTTCTCCATGTTTATCTGATGTGCAGTGTCTTTCATCAGTGTCTTTTCAGAAAGGTGTGAGTTTTAATGAGATAATGTGTTTTTGAGAAATAGCGATTTGGGGGGAAAGAGATGTTTCTGTTTTGTAGTCTTCCTTCTCTTTTTTCTCCATGTCAATAGCTAAAAATAGCTTGGCCTGACCAATTCAAATTTGTATATATTTTTGTCTTGTCCATAATGATAATGTTACAGAATTTACTCACTGTACTGTATTTTTAGTTTGGATGTTATTTGTGAAGAATGTTTGTGCACTTAGGAGTCTGTATGAACATTAGATGCTATAGGGACCTACAGGATTTGGAGACTTGACAAGTGTACTTCTTGTATGTTGGGGGATTCCAGAGCTTGCATGTGTATTGCATGAACATTCCAAAGCTCATACTTAAATTAAGGAGACTGGAAAATTTGATAGAAATATATTTATTTTATTTTTTAATGTAGTTAAACCATACACCTCAGTCAAACTAAAAATCCTGTAGTTTTTCTGACACCCTCATTTCCTTTAGCCTCATCACTGGGGCCAGAGAAACAGAGAAGCTCCATTGTGTCCAGATTTTACAGTAGCTTGCAGTACCTCACTGCAAGTTAAGTAACTCGTTCTGTAGAGTTTATGAGGCCCCTAGGTTAGGGTAGCAAAAGGTGAAAAGTATTTATTGAACAGCAAACATGCATTTGTGGTCAGTCCTATCCTGTTGATTGTAAACTGGCATACAGGCCACTTTTTTCATTTGGTCAGATTCTTTTGTGAGTGTTGATTCCCCTTAGGAGGCAAAAGTCACAACTCCCATCCTCCTCTGGTAGTCTTTGAATTTGTCTATTTCCCTGCTGCTGATTTCAGTGATATTTCCAGGCTTGCTGTAGAATTGTGGGGAGATACAATGTCATTAATCCTTTGCCCTCTCTTTTCCAGACGGTGCATTCAGATTGTGCACAAGCTGCTGTGCTACCAGAAGAAATGCAGAGTGAGGCTTCATTACACTTGGAGGGAGCTCTGGTCAGGTACTTGGCCTCTGCAGAGACAGTCAAATAGGAAAACCCACAGTGATGGTTGTTCTGTGGCTGTGACTGCTTGTTCCCTTGTTCCTGGGTTGAAAAGCAAGCAGCAGTTCTGTTAAAGCATCTTTATGTTGCTTCTTAGTTGCTGCATGCAAATTGCCTCCTTTGGAAAGCCAGTTCATTATCATAATGGTAGCTAATTTACTTCCTTGTCTTCCATGCTCACTATGGTATCCAAATGTCTTCGTTTTTCTGTTCCATTACCTGAGTCTCTCTTTACCTGATTGGAGAAAATGGAGTAATGTTTTATGGAGTAGTATTTCTCTCTCAGATATTTGTGAGTAGAAAGGAGGTAGGCTCTTGGGTAAAGGGAGATGGACCTTGCTTTTCCTTTTACTGCAAGAGATGCTCACGCATAGAATAGTGTATGCAGCTCCTAAAGAGAGCAGCCTTGAAATGTCAATGTGAGGGAAGAGAGGCTTTTAACTCTGACCTTTGAGTTGATGGTAGATAGTCTGGTTCATGCCATTTGCATCCCAAGATGGATAAATAAGTATTGTGGAGTCTGACATAATCTAGTGGACAGCTTTGTAGGACTCTTATGTGAGGCAGTCATTGTGTGGGAGGTCTGGGGAGGGGAGTAGCAGAATGGATGATGAGACCTAACAGGCATCTTTGGTGGATATGGTTTGTGCTTCAGTTCTTATCTAGCCAGTGAAGTAGCTCAGCCAGGAAAGTACAGTCAATCCCCTTGCTGTTGTGGCTTAAACAAGAGCTTTATGAAAATTCAAGGGAACATGGCCCTAATTGTGTATTCCTGGAGCTGTGTTTGAGACCTAGGATCAGCGACTTGCCTGGTGTAATGCAACTCTCATCAGAAATTTGAGAGAATGGCTTTTGAAAGAGGCAGTGATCAGTGGTTTGTGAGGCTCTTCTCAATTGACACTGAGTACTTCCCTTCAGTAGCTTTGCCCAGCTGAGGTGTAGGTACTGAGAAATGAACCAACGACCTGAGTCATTTTCAGTTACTGAATTTTCACCTTATGTGACATGTGGCCCATTCAGACTTTCTAAATTATTCTTGCAGAAGGTGAAGTGGGTGCCACTAATTAAGGGATTAGCAGTTCCTTTTCAGTTGTTTTCCTCAGAACAGAGCCCCTAGAGGCATGGCTGTAGTGTAGTGCCAGTTCAGGAGATGAGTGTCTAGAATGTGGATGTCTGTTGTGAATGGAAATTGCATCTGGCAATGTGTGTGATATCTTCTCAGCAGTTACAGTGAACCAGAGCCATTTCCATTTGGCCAGGATGGAATTTTCTGCTTTTCTACATACTGGCAGAGTGGAAGTTTGAAATATAGCACCTTTTGCTTGAAAGTATTGTTCCACAGTTCAGGGAGCACTCGTTGGCATCTTTAAATCCTTAACTTTCCCTATTTTAGGGAAGGAGAAAAAATTAACATACTCACTACACATTGAGATTCAGCATCTTGGGATATTCTTGTTAGCTGTCTCTAATTAGCTGGTGTTTATATAGACCTTTGGAAACATAAAGTGCCTCAGAAGTATTAAGTACTGCACATGCTTTGAAAGCAAAGCAGTGATCTAAAAACACTTGGGTTGGTCAGGTTTCCGTGAAGGAGCTGAAACATTGACCCGATGTAGCTGAAGAGCTCCATGCTTATGATAGATTTTTGTGTATTTTAGGTGATCCTCTTCTGAGAGTAAAGTAATGTAGAATGTTTCAAAATTGTTATTTTTTTAATAGGATGTTGAGGTGACCAGAGGGAGATTCTTCTGTAGCTGCATAAGTGGTTTATACAGGCTGGAAGACCCTGGGTGAAATGGTGCATACACCTGTAAAAGGGCAGGTCCTGGCTGTTCCAGGTGTGCTTCTAGAATGCTACATAAGTTGCAGAATAAATGCTAATTGCCAGCCCTGTCTTGAGATCTGTTTCATACTTAACTCTGACCCTGTCAAGGTTGCTCTTTGATTACCCAGAATGCTGCTGCCTTTGATGTGAAAGAATATCTCTCTCTGTGGTCTTGAATCTATGTGACAGACAATTCCAAACCAGAGCACAAGACTTCTGAAATAATTTCTGTCCTTCCTATGACCATCAGGCTTTTGTTTTGGATCAGAGTTAGTTATCACTGCTGGATGAACAGCCAAAAGGGAGCAGTTATTCACTGTAAGGTCTGAGATACCTGGTTGCCCCATCAGGTGTGCTTCACAGAAGGTCTTCAAGCCCACACTTGTCTTCTGGAATGACAAAGTCTGTGATGACTTTAGCAATGCCTCTGTGGTGTAGTGTGGATAATAGCAGTGGAGGCCCCCCAGCAGAGCTGAGTGGAACAAAGAAGCTGGAGGGAATTTGTGTAAGGAAGTATTGGAAGAAAGGGAGAGAGTTATACCTGGCACATAAAAGGAGGAGAGTTTTTTCAGGCAGAAAATTGAGTGGGAGAAGAAGACAAAGGGAATACTGGGGGCAGGGAGTCGGTATCGGGTGCGGAGGAACTGAGATAAAGGCTGGAGGTGGAAGCAGTAGCAGTGTATGGAGCCTTCTGTTCACTTGCCAAATCTAATGTTAGCTAATCTCTAATTAAGGAAAGCCACTTGGGTGTCATCTGATGGATTGATGCTCTTCCTTTGTGGATGCTTTGTCTTCAGTATGGAAGGCCAGCAGCACTTGGAGAGTTGCTGCATTTAGTGTTTGATTTTAATTTGCGGTGATGGCAGGGAAAAGCAGTGGAGCCAGGTGCTTTGGCATCTCTCAGGACACGTATCATGCTGTTTATGCAGTCTGTAATACTTTATGCTTTTTTGGATATGCCATTGTTTGGCACATTGTTTCCATATGATCTTATTTCTGTTGAACTTTCTTCTGCAACATCTGAGCTTAAAGAAGAACAATATTGTTACAGTGTTTGGATGTGATCCAGCCTGAGCTTCTCTATTAGAATAATTTTTTCACATTAAGGGACCAGAGGAATGGTACTCAAAGCAGTATAAATCTCTGGCTGTGCTGACCAGATGACCAAAAATGTTTAGGTGACAGAGAAAGATGCAGGGATTTGAGAGCTGGAAACAGGATTGACAGAAAGAAAAATCTGTGGGTGGCAAGAATAGTGTGTAGAAGCTTGTTCTACCTAAAAGCAGTGTGAAAATAAATATCAGATCGCTAGTGGAGCTAAATTCTGAAACATCTTAAAAAGAGGGCTGGAGAGTGAGATCTGATTAACCTATGAATGATTGGCAAAGGCAGTTACTAGGTACACCAGACATTCAGATCGAGAAATGTCTGTTGGTCTTGGTTCTTTTTTAGTAGCCTTTTTCAGCAGTCCGTTCACTTCTGTTCCACTACTGATTAGTGTGCAGCTCTTCCCTTGGAGTGCTAAAGAAAATCTTCAGGTTTTTCACCACTGACCATGTACCATTGCTGGTACTAGCCTGGGAATTTGGCCAAGGTCAGAAACTCTAAGTGGATATGACTCTGTTGACCTGTTTGCTTGCAGACGTTTTGGCCAACTGGAAATCTCCTGGACTGTTATGCCCGGTACCTTATTCTTTTTAAACACTGATTAATTGAATGTCAAGTGTAAGGTACTTCCTAGAGCCAGTTAGGAAACTTGGGAACAGCCAGTTCACTGGTCTCAGAAACAGCCTGTTATGCCCAATGTTCTTGGGCTGGTTTGTACAGCACTTGAGTGATGGACCGTGCTATATGTGTTGTTGTTGTTGTTGTCAAGCATGTATGAGCTATGCCAGAAGAGTTTTCATGAGTCATTTAAGCTTTTTATATAAAAAGAACTCATTTCTTCAACTCCTCCCACTTCAAAATTAGCAATGCTTGAGCAATTCACGCTGAGCTTAGGGGGTGCAGGTAACTTCTTTGCAGTTGCTATGGTTTGCTTTAAGCAAAAGCTATGTTTAAAGAAACAGAAAAGCAGTACTAATAAAGACTTCTAATAGCAAGAGTAGAGCCTAAAAAATCTGAATTATAATAATGATGAAATAGCTATTTATTGGGGTAGTTGAATGCAAAGCAGGATTAACAGTGGGTATTACCATTAGTAAGATCAGTTGAAGATCAGTTTTCAAATTGTTTTAACATAAGGCTGTAGTTCCTTATCTTGTAGCTTAGTTAATTTGGGAGATGCAGAATGCACTGTTAAAATAAGGGTACTTCAAATATGTAGCACCATTAAGAAGTTAATTTTTCTCCTTTTCATTTTAGGGTTATCAAAGCAGACTTCTACAATGCTGCTAGACAAAATACACTTTTTTTTTTCTTTTTGTACACTCTTCAGATCTTTTTGTCAGGTTCTGTATTTATAACAAGAATAGTACTGCATTCAAAAATTCTTGGGTGTATAATAAAAACATGAAAGGTTCCTGTGTGGAAGATTTTAAAGAAACAATTTTTTGCGGAGGAGAATGTTCCCCCCCCCCCCCCCCCCCGAATTTCAGTGTATATAATACTGCCCTTATGCAGTGCATATTTAAGATGGTATTGTGTAATCACTTTGTTTTAATATTTTTGTGACTGAAATGTTGATTACTGAGAGTGTGTTAGCTATGTAATTTCTGGTTCTACAACTGTGGATCAGGTCTGCTTCAACCCTCTGATTTATGTTGCTGAACAGACTGGAAGTCAGGTGATGTTGTGTCTTCCCCTCATCTCTAATCCAGCTGTCACTGTCACTTTCTGCAGCAGTTATCTGGCAAGGGAAGCTTATCATCTTGCAGCTCTTGTGGAGGCAGGATTCACACACTGGTGTACCACACAGTCGAGTTCACTGGCAAAGTTCCTGGTCACTGGATGCCATGAGAGTTTGGAAGAACATAGAGCTGCTTGGCCAGTTAGCAAATGGCTCAGTTTCTCACACAAACTAAAAGCTGTAACTTTGTGTGCCATGGAATACATTCTGGGAGTTTGCAGCCCTTAGGGGGTTCTATTTTCTTTATTATAGGAGTGTTGGTGTTTGTGATATGTGGTACTGTGT